ACATCACACTGATATTTTACATTTTCTTATGCTGTATTTAAAACTTGACTCATAACTTATATTTTTGCATTTGTCATGTTGTTTACATTTTGTATTTTGTAGTTAGTTTAGTCTAAGTTATTTTTGTATATTGTACATTGTACTGACTAATATGTCATTGTGATGACATCTGAGTCAATAAAAGATGTACGTGAACCGTGAACGCTGCTCCTGCCAAGTGGACACTTTATCATTAGGGTTTGGTATGTGATCACCGCTCCTGCCAAGTTGACCCTGTATCATTAGGGTCTGGTACGCAATCGCCGCTCCTGCCAAGTTGACCTCGTATCATTAGGGTCTGGTACACGAATGCCGCTCCTGCCAAGTGGACCCTCTATCATTAGGGTCTGGGACACGATCGCCGCTCCTGCAAAGTGGTTCCTGTATCATTAGGGTCTGGTACGTGTCCTGTGTCCTCAGTGGGTAGGTCAGGGTTAGGTAATCATTTAAAACCCCATCTGGTTTAATAGGGTTGGTTAGGGTGGGTTGAGGTTACGGTTTAAACTCATTTCACTTTGCAGGAGCGGCGTTCATGTGCCAGACCCTATTGATAGCGATCGCTGCTCCTGCAAAGTGAACCTTGTATCATTAGGGTCTGGTACACGAATGCCGCTCCTGCCAAGTGGACCCTCTATCATTAGGGTCTGGTACATGATCGCCGCTCCTGCCAAGTGGACCCTGTATCATTAGGGTCTGATACGCGTCCTGTGTCCTCAGTGGGTAGTTCAGGGTTAGGTAATCATTTAAAATCCCATCTGGTTTAATAGGGTTGGTTAGGGATAGCTGCTCCTGCTAAGTAGATCCTGTATCATTAGGGTCTGGTATGCAAACGCCGCTCCTGCCAAGTGGACCCTGTATCATTAGGGTCTGGTACACAATTGCCGCTCCTGCCAAGTGGATCTTGTATCATTAGGGTCTGGTATGCGAACGCTGCTCCTGCCAAGTGGACCCTGTATCATTAGGGTCTGGTACGTGTCCTGTGTCCTCAGTGGGTAGGTCAGGGTTAGGTAATCATTAAAAACCCAATCTGGTTTAATAGGGTTGGTTAGGGTGGGTTGAGGTTACGGTTTAAACTCATTTCACTTTGCAGGAGCGGTGTTCATGTGCCAGACCCTACTGATAGCGATCGCTGCTCCTGCAAAGTGAACCTTGTATCATTAGGGTCTGGTACACGAATGCCGCTCCTGCCAAGTGGACCCTCTATCATTAGGGTCTGGTACACGATCGCCGCTCCTGCCAAGTGGACCCTGTATCATTAGGGTCTGGTACACGAATGCCGCTCCTGCCAAGTGGACCCTCTATCATTAGGGTCTGGGACACGATCGCCGCTCCTGCAAAGTGGTTCCTGTATCATTAGGGTCTGGTACGTGTCCTGTGTCCTCAGTGGGTAGTTCAGGGTTAGGTAATCATTTAAAACCCCATCTGGTTTAATAGGGTTGGTTAGGGATCGCTGCTCCTGCTAAGTAGATCCTGTATCATTAGGGTCTGGTATGCAAACGCCGCTCCTGCCAAGTGGACCCTGTATCATTAGGGTCTGGTACACAATTGCCGCTCCTGCCAAGTGGATCTTGTATCATTAGGGTCTGGTATGCCAACGCTGCTCCTGCCAAGTGGACTCTGTATCATTAGGGTCTGGTATGCGATTACCGCTCCTGCCAATTGGACCCTGTATCATTAGGGTCTAGTACGCGTCCTGTGTCTTCAGTGGGTAGGTCAGGGTTAGGTAATCATTTAAAACTCCATCTGGTTTGATAGGGTTGGGGTTGGTAATTAGGGTTAGGGTTAAGGCTACGGTTAACTCATTTCTCTTTGCAGGAGCGGTGTTCATGTGCCAGACCCTACTGATAGCGATCGCTGCTCCTGCCAAGTAGACCCTGTATCATGAGGGTCTGGTACGCGTCCTGTGTCCTCAGTGGGTAGGTCAGGGTTAGGTAATCATTTAAAACTCCATCTGGTTTAATAGGGTTGGGGATGGTTATGGTTAGGGTAAAGGTTAGAATTAAATTCTTTTTTTTTATATTTTGACATAGAAAAATTTATTTATTTATGGAATTCATTTTTTAATTTATTTTACATTTTTGACACACATATTCATGGTCTTAGGGTTAAATTCATTTTTTGGGGTAAGGGTTAAATTCATTTTTTGAATTTTTTCATTTCTCGTTATCAAATTAAAAAAAAAATATTTTGCAACTAACGTCAGACCTGCCAACCTGAAATTGGTTTTGAACGAGGTCATGGTGAATAAAAGTTAAATGAAAGTTCATTTAGTCAAATGAAATGGGAAAACAAAAGAATATGACAAAAATTAATGAGTAATCAGGCTGATTATTAAAAGCCCATGATGTAAGTTGGCCCTGAACAAGTATTATGAGGGTTCCTTTGCTCGCTCAGTTTTTACAGAAAATATACATTTCCCTGCTGTAAAACTGAAAATAAAAGAAAGAAGTCCAATAATCAAGGTTACTGACTGTAGATTTAGCTCAAACACGGTAGATTAAGGGAGATTTCAGTCAAAAATACGGGAGGAAAGAAGAAATTTTGAAATACATTTTTCTCTGAACCATTTTAAAGCATTGACGAGTTCATTTCTCGCCTATTCTTGAACCAATTTTCTTAATTTTTCACCAAAATCATGTGAGGATGAATGCTATGCATTGGTTTGAATTATCGCTTATTAGAATATATATGTGATCTCTAAAAGTTAGTTATAAAAGTTAGTTTTATATAAATTCATAATTAGCAATTAAAATAAGTTTCACATTCTTCCATATAACACTGAGTAAGACTACAGTATAAGCCAAAGTGATTTAGACCTTATATGGGGACTTAAAGTGCTATTGATTATATAAATTCATAAAGATGTGCATTTATGGTCTTTCTACAGAGCAGAAAACTCATGGGCAATGGTAAATGTTCTATATTTGCAGATATACAGATTTTCAATTCTACATAAATACAGTTATATTCTTATTTCTACTTATTCAAGAATTCAAGATGTTTCTGACCAGGGAGCCTACTTAGTGAACTAACTGACACTCAGATTGGAACATTAATACAAGGATACTATAATGTTCACATGTGTTTAGAATTGTGTTAGAATAATTGTATATGATACAGTAATATGCTGTTCATAGCTTTGTAACATTAACAAGTTTATTACTTCACAATTATTCCATAATAAAATCATCTCTACATAATAAATTATTCTCTGCAATCTATTTTTGTTTTATGAGAACATAAAGTTAGTAATCTATTATTATCATATTGAAACATTTTACATGTGTGAATTCTAAGGTATAATGCAAAGGAAAAGTCAAATCCCTCATGGAATTCTTTAAAAACGGCCCTCCCCCTGCTTCCCTCCCTGGTAAAAGCTGACTACTGGCCTGAGAGTGGCAGAATACAAATGTAGTCAGTGCCCGGGAGTTAGTGGTCAGCTAACCAAGAATATTGTAGAGGATGATTTCTTCATATGCTTACTACAAAGCTCAAACTTATATACCAATTTACCATTTTTTAAATTACATTTTCCAAATTTGTGTTCATTTCATTCGTTTTACCGTTCATTAAACAAACTTTTTAGTTTAAAAATATATTTTATCATTTAATTTCCCATTCCAAATAAACAAACGTGTCATTTTGGAACTTGATCCACATGCTGCACATGAGAGATGTATAGTTGAAACTTGGCAAGATGCTATTCGAACATGCAACATGGCAGCATGCCACTTGGCAACTTGGTCCACATGCTGCACATGTGAGTCGTATGGTTTAAACGTGGCAAGATGCTATCTGTACATGCAACATGGTACCATGTCACTTGGCAACTTGGTCCACATGCTGCACATGCGAGCTCTATAGTTTAAACTTGGCAAGATGCTATTTGTACATGCAACATGGTACCATGTCACTTGGCAACTTGGTCCACATGCTGCACATGCGAGTTGTATAGTTTAAACTTGGCAAGATGCTATTTCAACATGCAACATGGTAGCATGTCACTTGCTAACTTGGTCCACATGCTGCACATGCGAGACGAGATGTATAGTTTAAACTTGGCAAGATGCTATCTGTACATGCAACATGGTACCATGTCACTTGGCAACTTGGTCCACATGCTGCACATGCGAGTTGTATAGTTTAAACTTGGCAATATGCTATTTCAACATGCAACATGGTAGCATGTCACTTGCTAACTTGGTCCACATGCTGCACATGCGAGATGTACAGTTTAAACTTGGCAAGATGCTATTTGAACATGCAACATGGCAGCATGTCACTTGCTAACTTGGTCCACATGCAGCACATGCGAGATGTATAGTTTAAACTTGGCAAGATGCTATTTGAACATGCAACATGGTAGCATGTCACTTGCTAACTTGGTCCACATGCTGCACATGCGAGATGTATAGTTTAAACTTGGCAAGATGCTATTTGAACATGCAACATGGCAGCATGTCACTTGCTAACTTGGTCCACATGCAGCACATGCGAGATATATAGTTTAAACTTGGCAAGATGCTATTTGAACATGCAACATGGTACCATGTCACTTGCTAACTTGGTCCACATGCTGCACATGCAAGATGTATAGTTTAAACTTGGCAAGATGCTATTTAAACATGTAACATGGCAGCATGTCACTTGCTAACTTGGTCCACATGCTGCACATGCGAGATGTATAGTTTAAACTTGACAAGATGCTATTTGAACATGCAACATGGTACCATGTCACTTGCTAACTTGGTCCACATGCTGCACATGCGAGGTTTATCATTAAGACTTCGAAAATTTTGAATATGGGACTTGGCAGCATGTGACTTGTAACTTGGTCCACATGCTGGGCAACATGTATACTTCGTACTTGGCAAGATGCTAATTGTACTTGGTGCACATGGCATGTAGTACCCCGGTGGCCTTAGCTGGTTTATCCATATGTCATCTGAGACAGAGGGGTGCTGCAATATGTCTGTAGGTTTATACATATGTCATCTGAGACAGAGGGGTGCTGCAATATGTCTGTAGGTTTATCCATATGTCATCTGAGACAGAGGGGTGCTGCAATATGTCTGTATCAAGTCAACTGTGGCAGGAACATCTGAAAGATATTGATTCGAACAGTATGTAAACTATTGAAAATATTAAGAATTTGCAAGTAAAACATCAATCTACAATTCCAAAGTACTTCATCCATTCTCTATCTCTGACATCATTTTTTGGAACAACTTGGTACGTACAAATCATTTGCAACAACTGTACATTTGTAAATATAATTTGTCTGAATTCAATATATTTTCTGAAGTGATGTACTTTTAAGATTGGGGATGTTCTAGATTGTCTGCAAGAGACACCTCTGCATAGCATGGCAGATATAAGACACTGACATGAGGCACATCTCCATTTGTACAACATGAGAATGTGGCATGTTTGCATCTAACAATTGTATCAATGTTTACATTATAACTTAACCAACCCAAGATATTTCAATTATATGGAAATGATATATGGTAATGATGTTTCAATACAATATACATATTAAATTAGTATTATATGAAAATGATATTCCAATACAATATACTATATGGAAATGATATTCCACTACAATATATTATATTGAAATGATATTCCAATACAATATATTATATGGAAATGATTTTCCAATACAATACATTATATGGAAATGATGTTCCAATACATTATACATTGTATATTATATGGAAATGATATTCCAATACAATATACTATATGGAAATGATATTCCACTACAATATATTATATTGAAATGATATTCCAATACAATATATTATATGGAAATGATTTTCCAATACAATATATTATATGGAAATGATGTTCCAATACAATATACTATATGGAAATGATATTCCACTACAATATATTATATTGAAATGATATTCCAATACAATATATTATATGAAAATGATATTCCAATACAATATACTATATGGAAATGATATTCCACTACAATATATTATATTGAAATGATATTCCAATACAATATACTATATGGAAATGATATTCCACTACAATATATTATATTGAAATGATATTCCAATACAATATATTATATGGAAATGATTTTCCAATACAATATATTATATGGAAATGATGTTCCAATACAATATATTATATGGAAATGATGTTCCAATACAATACATTATATGGAAATGATGTTCCAATACATTATACATTGTATATTATATGGAAATGATATTCCAATACAATATACTATATGGAAATGATATTCCACTACAATATATTATATTGAAATGATATTCCAATACAATATATTATATGGAAATGATTTTCCAATACAATATATTATATGGAAATGATGTTCCAATACAATATATTATATGGAAATGATGTTCCAATACAATACATTATATGGAAATGATGTTCCAATACATTATACATTGTATATTATATGGAAATGATATTCCAGTACAATATATTATATGGAAATGATATTCCAATACAATATATTATATGGAAATGATATTCCAATACAATATATTATATGGAAATGATGTTCCAATACAATACATTGTATATTATAGGGAAATGATATTCCAATAAAACATATTATATGGAAATGATGTTTCAATACAATATATGGCAATGATGTGAACACTTACCGAGTGGGAAATAATCTGTTGACCCAGAAGCCTCCTGCCTGGCTGCCTCAATACATCTCTTTATAGCAAACAGTGCAGCACAGCTCATGCACAGGGGTGGTTCTGCTACAGCTGTAATACATATAAATTGTTATCTCAGACTTAGATGGACTTTCTTGGGAAATTCTCAATTTGTGTTACAGTTTGTAAACTTTGAATGTCTGAATTCATTTGTAATAGAATCTATTCTGTTATGTAATCGAACAAAACACAGATAGGGTGCTAAATCCAAGCCCATTTGCCACATCATTCAGTTGGCTCAAATGGCCACCAAATGTAGGAGCTTTGCCCTGATGGACAGTTAGGCTTTCAGCATATCCCTGCCACCTTAAGCGGGAAGTGGGGAGATATATATTGGGATATATATTCACAGTGCCCCAAGGAATTGAATTTTCTTTTTCTTTTTACAAATATCATCAAATAAAAATAATTATCTAAAAATCTCACATTATTTATCATAAGGGCGAACTATGAGCAAATGAACAAACATTGGATATAATTATTCTAAAAATGATAAATGTATTACCTTTTGACCCAAGAATTCCTTTAAGATTAGGATGTGCATTTCTCAGGAGGCCAACTCGTAGGTCAGTTGGGATGTCTTTAGCACTGGGCACTTTGTACTCCTATATACACAAAAGATATCATATAGCAAGCTAGGATACCACTGCATTTATTGCAATCTATTGAGTCCTTGGTGCCATTATGCATTGATACAGTACTATCAATGTGCCATATAACTTTTGCTACAATAATTCCTTTGTGACATCAAAAACATTCATAGATAATACAATATAAAGGAACAAATTATCCATTTCAAAACGTAGGAACAATATATGAGAATTGTGCAAGAAAGCATATAGTCTAATACCCATGTATTTGCAGTCAAGATTTCTCCAGTCTGAGGATCAAACTTTAGTCTCTCAAACATCCAGTAACCAAGCCCCATTACAAAGGCACCCTCTATCTGGCCAATATCTAGGTCTGGATTCATGCTACAATAGAAGTCATAAAATTAAGTCCCTCCTTCAAAACACAATTGGAGATCTTTGTTGGTGATATCAACAGACAAGTCTGCTTTTGCCTGATAACTCATAAGATACAATATTTGCACTCTCCTACTTTTATTTCATTTCGTGCAGATGTGGAAGATTATTCCATGAAAATACTGTTACACACTAACCTCTGTCCACAATCATAGAGAATATCCACTCTTGGAAGCATGAATTCTCCAGTCAGAACATCAAGCTCAGCTTCAGCAACAGTGACTCCATAGGCATTGTAGGTCTCACCATCTTCTGGGTGAATCCTACAAAACAATCATAAAACTAGAAAAACAGCAACTCCACGGAGTAGCAAATCCCACCGAACAGCCACCTTGAAAATTTCTTCTCAAGCAGAGCTCCTTTATCTATAGGCATCAGTATATAAAATTTGAAGTAAATCCGTCCAATGGTATTTGAGTTATCAAAGATTACCTTTTTTATGAAAAATGGCAGCCATTTTGAAATTCAGCTGACCAGCTGAAAATCTCTTCTCGAACAGAGCTCCCATGTCCCTAGGCATCAGCATGTAAAATTTGAACCAAATCCATTCAACAGTATTTGAGTTATCAAAGATAACATTTTTTACAAAAAATGGCCGCCATTTTGAAATATGGTTGCCATCTTTAAAATGTCTTCTTGAGCAAGGTTCCTTTGTACCCAGGCAACAGCATATAAAATTTGATCCAAATCTATTCAATGGTATTTGAGTTATCAAAGATAACGTTTTTTTTACGAAAAATGGCCACCATTTTGAAATATGGCGGCCATCTTGAAAATGTCTTCTTCAGCAGGGCTCCTTTGTACCCGGACAACAGCATATAAAATTTGAACCAAATCCATCCACTAGTATTTGAGTAATCAAAGATTATATTTTTTCCGAAAAATGGCCGCCATTTTGAATTTAGCAGCCATATTAAAAATTCCTTCTCGAGCAGAGGTCCTACACCCATAAGGCATAAGCCTATAAAATTTGAATGAAATCCGTTAACCGGTATTTGAGTTATTGCCCGGACACACGAACGGACGGACGAACGGACGGACGAACGGACGGACGAACGGACGGACGGACGGCTTTTCTATATCCCCCTCGAACTTCGTTCGGTGGGATAATAATCAGCATAGTTTACATTCATACCTACATATTATATATTATTATTATTATTATACATACCTACATTGTCAATAATTATGGAATCGTCTAGATTTTTCGTATATAAACAATGTTCAATACAGACACAGTGATGTACTTACAAAAGATAATTATACATACACTGTAATCTAGATTGTCTCTTTATACATTGTATATCAGCTCTGGAGTAAAAGCAGTGCAGATTTTAAGTCAGGTACTGTATGATAATCAGTATCAAGATCATGGTGGGATAATTTAGGCCATATATAATACAGCATTTCTAGCAATAAAGACTTCATGCTTTTAAAATCTATCCTTGCCATAGTCCTTACATCAAAAGCTTTTGCAATTTTGCCACTTGCTACAGATGTCAATGGATATCTTTATTTTATTAATGCAAACGCTATGGATTGTACGCCTATTAATTTGAGCTGCATGTTTCCATTGTACTCCAGCCATTCTGAGATACCTTTCAGCCTCTGCATTTAGTTTAACCTCTGTATTTAATTCACATTCTGCATTTAGTTTAACCTCTGTATTTAGTTTAACCTCTGCTTTGGTTTAACCTCTTAAAAATACCTACCATTTTTGGCAGCTCAGGCTAATACCCTGGGAGTAGCACTTCTGCACTGTTTGCTGCCAGGTTGCATTCTCCAGTGTAGATCTTACAGGTGCCATACGTTTCAAGATTAGGAGACAACATTCTATCACTCCCTGAAAAGAAATGCAAGATCAATCAAGTAATATCAAAAAAACTTGTTAGATGAATTAGGCCATAAGAAGTAGATTCTTTGTTTTGCGTCCCCTTGCTTGCATGATTTTGAGTAAATCAGAAAAAAACAAACACATCCAAATAGCAATCACAAGGGTCTGAAAGTACCATCGCATTTCGTTCATTCAGAATCAGAAGAAATGGCGGATAATCTGATGTGCATCAAAATTGATAGTATTGTTGATTACTTTGGCATACATTGTGTATTTTCTTATTTTGTACCCTTGAATAATATAGTTTATTATATAATAATAAACAATATAGATATGTGTTCGTAATCACTGCAAATTGGTATGTCATCCCATTTTATCCTCATAAAATGTATATATTTCTCAGCAAACAAGTTTGTGTTTTTACTTGAGTTTGTGTTTGTTTTCCTTGTACCCTTGCATGATTTGGATTTTGCCAGGACGCAAAACAAAGAATCTACTTCTTATGGCCTTATTTCATTTTGAAAATATATTTGCTGAAAAGTAAAAGAGCTGAGTATGTTTTAACAGGAAATTTCCCATAATTAATTTTTTAACATAAAATCTTATTTAAAAATCTCAGACAAAAATAAACAGCCCATGCAATGGCCACAATCTTTAAAATTGCTAAGACTCCCTAACCTGTGCTATCAAAAGAGCAAAAAAACGAAACAAAGCTGGGGAACTATGCTTTTTAACTTTCTGAAATTAATTTAAGGCTGGCTGCTTTGCAAAACTACCTTATATAATAAACCATACCTGGCAGACAAGTTCTGACGTTATGCTCCCCCCTGAGCTATGAGCATTTGCAGACCCAGCTAGGCTGTTGGTAGGGGTGCACCTTATCATCGACAAAGGGATTCCAAATAAGTGAGCACATACTTGTATTGCCTGCAAATAAGTGAGCACATACTTATAATGCCTGCAAAATAAGTGAGCACATACTTGTATTGCCTGCAAAATAAGTGAGCACATACTTGTATTGCCCGAAAAATAAGTGAGCACATACTTATAATGCCTGCAAAATAAGTGAGCACATACTTGTATTGCCTGCAAAATAAGTGAGCACATACTTGTATTGCCCGAAAAATAAGTGAGCACATACTTGTATTGCCTGTAAAATAAGTGAGCACATAATTGTACTGCCTGCAAAATAAGTGAGCACATACTTGTATTGCCTGCAAAATAAGTGAGCACATAATTGTATTGTTTGCAAAATAAGTGAGGGCATAATTGTATTGCCTGTAAAATAAGTGTGCACATACTTGTATTGCCTGTAAAATAAGTGAGGGTATACTTGTATTGCCTGCAAAATAAGTAAGCACATAATTAATTGTATTGCCTGCAAAATAAGTGAGCACATAATTGTATTTTCTGCAAAATAAGTGCAACCTTGAGTACACTTGGGTTTTTAATTTTCATGAGCAGGTTCATCTTTGCAGGAAGATTAGGTTCATATACTTGTATGAGTTTGGTGTTATGCTGTTATCCAATTCATCCAGTGCCTCTAATGGGACATCCACCATATTGGTGTGAGTTAAATTTTAACCCAACAGATATGTAAATAAGAGTGATGAAAAATATCAATTAATAATAAATTATCATTTTAATAACTTCAAAGTCTAAACAGATTAACGTTGAAAACTATTTACATACAACATTCTTAAAACTCTGTAAAATAGTTGTATAAATATTAGTTTCTTATTCTCAAATCCCATTTGAATTCTGGAACTATGGGTCATAAACATTCAGTGGGTCCAAGGCACAAGTATGATATGGTAGAGCTGCCTAGAGACAGGGTTGCCATAGTAACAGGTGCATCAGCAGGAATTGGATATGAAACTGCCAAGAATCTGGCAATCATGGGAGCTAAAGTTATTCTGGCCTGCAGAAATGAGGAAAAAACAAGAAAGGTAAAGGGTCCATTGTTAATCTAACCGCCTAACCTTAAACAAGATTTGAAGGAAAACCTGAATTTCTTGCTTTTTAAAAAACTACTGCATTCTCTCTATGGCCAATTAGTTTTCAAAACTTAATGTGCATTTCTTGATAAGGCTCAAATGGCACAGAACAGAACAGAATCAGATTGGAACAGATTTCAGAACTTGCCTTCAGAATTCAACTTTTGGTATTTGGGATCTTCTGTATGTCTGACAAAATTAGATGTTCCATTCTGTGCCAGGCCTACATTACTTAGGCAAGTTCTTATACGCTTTCCTACAGAGATAATAAGGAATAGACAGACAACACCACTCCCAACATATATTATAGATAACTCACAAAATAAAATTGCAGATAAACGTCTTTCGATAAGAGGGAAGATCCAAAAGTTTCCGGCCTAACAGTTCTAGTTGATGGATTTTCAAAATGATAGTGTCATTTTTCAATGTAGTCTCCCTGTACTTCGATGCACTTGGCCCATCTTCTTGGCAGCATCTCAAGTCCAGTTCTGAAGAAATCAGGAGCATGACACTCCAACCACTGGTTAACAGCTATCTTGACCTCATCATCATCATCATCATCAAAGCGTTGCCCTCGTAGAGATTTTTTGAGTTTCCCAAATAGGTAATAGTCACTGGGCGCTTATTCTGGAGAATAGGGTGCGTGCGGTAATAATTCCAGATGGCATTCTTCCGCTGCATCACGAGCAACTTGGCTTGTGTGAACAGGTGCATTGTCCTGTTGATGCAAAACTCCAAGACGGACTTTGTGTGGCCTGGTTTCATCAAGTTTAGCTTTTAAAGTACGCAACAAAGCAGCATAATATTCTCCATTCATTGTAGTACCTCTTGGAAGGTAGTCTACTAAGATAGGACCTTCACAGTCCCAGAAAATGGTGGCCATCATCTTTTTGTTGGATGGGGTGGTGCTAAACTTCTTTGGGGGTGGGGACCCCATATGTTTCCATTGCATTGACTCATGTTTGATTGAAGGCTCAAAATGACGCACCCATGTTTCATCACAAGTGACTATTCTCTCCATAAAACCTTGTGGATCAGTGTTATACATGTCCAAAAGCTCTCTTGCAACAGCACTCGTTTTGTTTTCATGTCCTCTGTGAGCATACGGGGCACCCATCTTGAGCTTAACTTTTGCATGTGTAAATCTTCATGAATTATTCTACAAACGGTACCATATGATAATCTAGTTTCTTCTACAAGTTCACGTATAGATTTCCGCCTATCTTCCAATATTGTTCGATGTACAAGATCAACATTTCTATCTGAAGTCACATCTTTAGGTCTTCCAGAACATGGTGCATCATCAATTGATTCCCGTCCACGTTTAAATTCAGCCATCCAAAATTTTACAGTAGAATAGGAGGGAGCACCTTCCCCATACACATCCTTAAGTCTATCGTAGATTTCCTGCCCTCCATTTTCTTCTTGATATAGAAACTTTATCACAGCTCTATATTCAGTTTTCTCCATTGTGATCACTGATGTGCAGCCACTGTGACCTGACCTCATTTTGAATATTCTCAAAATGAGGCTGTGACCCCTAGAGGTTAATCATATGCATAAATTTTGTTCATACATAAGCAACATTTGAACTGTGAAGAATGGTTGCTCTCAGACATCGGGAACTATGTTAGGCCGGAAACTTTTGGATCTTCCCTTGTACATGTAGGAAATAGGACAATATTTAAAAGTCATTAAAATCAAAATAACAGATGATTCATATCTCTCTTCAAGGCCATGTCACGAATGCGTGAAGAATATGAGCACTACAAGTCAGTGTTCAGTGACTCAGCAAAGCATGAAGAGCTTCAACTTTACTACATGCACTTGGATCTTGCATCTCTGCAGTCAACACATACATTTGTACAACAGTTCTTGGCCATGGGGTGGCCCCTGCATATTCTCATCTGTAATGCAGGCATAGCTGTCAACAATATATGTAAGTACAAGCACACAAATGTCCATGGGTATGCATGTTATCTCTATTTTCAAAGAAGAAACCTTACAATTAAATGTTTTATTTTAAATATGGAAATATTACTGAACACTATAATTACAAACTAGAAAACAGCATCTCCATGGAGTGGCAAATCCTAACGAACAAAACATGTTTTGATAAAAAGCTGCCATCTTCAAACAGAGTCTTGAACAGAGCTCCTTTGTTCCTATGTAGGCACCAGCATAAAAAATCTGTCAACTGGCATTTGAGATATCAACGATTAGTTTTTTAAGAAATGGGAGGCCATATAATATGGTCATGCAATTAAATGAATGAGTCATGCATTTACTTTTAGCAATAACAGAAGACCATCATGAGACCATGTTTCAGGTAAACACTCACATTTTGATTTTCAATCTTAAATCAAAGAATAAATCTTTTCAGCTCAGGATTATTTAAAGGTTTTGTCTACAGTATATTGTAATCTTACCAAATGTTATCAATAGAATAACATTAGGCACTATGTAAGTAACTAGTTGTGTAATATGATCTTCCATTACAGACCAACTATCTGAGTCACTTTCTGATTATTGAACACTTGCTGCCAGTTCTTGAAACATCTGGTCCAGATGTACGTATCATCCTAGTCTCCAGCATTGGCCATTATAATGCCCACTTTAACAGGGATGACATTGAGAACCTTACTCTCAAAAAAGACATCAATCTCTCACTTTATGGTACAACAAAACTTTATCAGGTACTGTATAATAATTTAATGTCGAACAAGATATTTATCTCTCGATCCAATGATTAAATTAACTCTCTTTTAATGTAACAGTTGGTACCTGGAAATTGGAAAGTAGATGAATGCATACATTTCAAAAGCACCAAGTGATGCTCTGAATATGCCTACTACAAATAGATATAAAATAATAATATAGGCATAAACATGTCTCTTAAATTCACACAGGTGATGCAAATGTACAAGTTGGCAGAGAAACTAAAACAGAAAAATATCACAAACATTGGTGTGTTTGCATTGCACCCTGGGTATGTTCAGACTGAGATTGCGCGAGACCTGCGTCCTCTTCTGAAAGTTCTAAACAAGATTGGTTCTTCGCTGAGTATGTTTTATTTTTCAATTTTATGTACATTTTCAAATGCATTGAACTATATCAATAGCTTTGCATGGCTTAATGTATAATATTCTACCAACTTTTTAACTTGAGTAGAAGTGGAATACTGTTTGAACTTTTGAATGAGTGGTCCAAATACAAAACTATTACTAAAGTGGATTACTAATTTTTTATATCTACGTCTCAGTATACCTACAACAAAAAATAGTTGAAGAACACATAATTAATGGATTAAAAGAACACATAATTGATGCAATATTAATGATTCTTCATTTAATTGATTAAAAATGATGACATATAATTAGTAATTAAAAGTGAAAAAGGAAATGTCTTAGTTTAACTATTTCCAGAAATTGCCACGGACAGTGTTAAAGGGGCATACACAACTCTGTACTGTGCCGTGAGCCCTGACTTAAAGGGGCAATGTGGTTACTACAATAACTGCAGACCAGAAAGGTGCTCTGGAAAAGCAAGGTAGAGTCACATACCTCAATTGTATTTAAAAACACACAGGCTATTCAAATCTTACAACATTTGTTTTTTGTTAATTCTAAAATACTGAGGTTTTGATAGAATAGTGTCTAACCTGCTAACATATTCAAAACCACAGGTTATCCCTGTGAAAATGACCCCATTCAGAAATCCTCATATTTGTGTTCTCTTTATCATGCAATAATGGAATAATATGAAGAATTTAGGGCTTGAACTATGAATTATTTAGGTTTTAACCAATTTGTTTTGAGGATTGGTCCTACAGATTAATGATATCTGTGCTTTTAGGAATACATTTTATGCTTTCCTATTATAATATAATACAATTGCAGGAACAAAGCTCTACAGGACATTGTGTGGGACTACACCTTTAAGTGTTTACAAGACCATTTACCTAAACATTCAGAGTCAGTCAACAACAATAACAGTAGCAGCTCAGAACAAACAACACAGCTGATGGCAACAGCTGCTCTAACAGCAGCAGATGTGCAACCTAACCAACTGTAATACTGACTTGTAATAAGAAAAGGAAGATAACCACAGATGAGGTTCTGATAAATGAGAGACAATTATGAGTTCATAAGACTCTCTGGCTTTTACAAATCAATGTATTTTTATTAAATCATCACACAAATGAAATAATTGCTTAGCAACTTACCTAGTTAACAGCTCATACTAAAGCTTAATAAAATAGGAAATTATAAATTAAGTGACTTTAGTGAGTTTTTCCAAATAACATAATGGTTTTCAAGCCCTACCAAGACCACAGGTGCCACCTATTTATCTATTTATGTAGCAAGTCAGATACAGTACTGTAAATATAAACAAGAAAACTAGATATCAAGATTGAAAACAATCTTACATAGGCGTAAGGTCATATATGAGCTCTAGGCAATGTTTAAACAAGACACACAGTGATAAGTATCGCACTTTGAAGAGCAAACTGACCACCATGCAATTTACCCAGCATGGCCAAAACCTAATCAGACCTTGGCACTAGTCTGCTCTTGCATCTGTAAACATTTCAAGTTGACAAGGTTAGCGGTTTTCTTGGAATTTTGATGACAAGAATTGATTTGTAGTCTCAAACTTTGAGAAACTTGGATAACATCATTTGTGACCTAGTTTAATGACCTTGACTTTCGACCTTGAAAATTTCACTTTTTCAGACCTCAGTAGGTGTTTTGTAATTAAGCTGACCTAAATTCAAATCCAAAATATCAATTTAGAAAATCAACTTTTTTGACCTTTTCAAGGTCACTGAAGGTGAATGAAAGGTCAAATCTGTGACCTAGTTTAATGACCTTGACCTTCGACCTTGAAAATTTCACTTTTTCAGACCTCAGTAGGTGTTTTGTAATTAAGCTGACCTAAATTTAAATCCAAAATATCAATTTAGAAAATCAACTTTTTTGACCTTTTGAAGGTCACTGAAGGTGAACGAAAGGTCAAATCTGAAATCTAAGGTCAGATTTGAACTTCTGAGAACTTGTAGATGTTTTTTAAAAAAAGTTGGGTCAATTTGGAGCAAGTTGAAAAATTCAAAATGGCCGCCAAATTGAAAAATTCAAAATGGCCACCATGTCATTCAGCCAGCATACCCAAAACCTATTCAGATCTTGGCTATAGTCTGCTCTTGCATCTGTAAAAATTTCAAGTTGAACGGATAAGTGGTTTTCCTGGAATTTTGATGACAAGATTTGTTGAAAAATTCAAAATGGCCACCACGTAGTTTACCCAGCATGCCCTTAACCTAATCAGATCTTGGTACTAGTCTGCTCTTGCATCTGTAAAAATTTCAAGTTGAACAGGTAAGCAGTTATCCTGGAAATTTGATGACAAGATTTGGTTTATGTGCCGCCCGCACGCCCGCACGACCGCCCAACAGCACATTCAAGTTGAACGGATAAGTGGTTTTCCTGGAATTTTGATGACAAGATTTGTTGAAAAATTCAAAATGGCCACCACGTAGTTTACCCAGCATGCCCTTAACCTAATCAGATCTTGGTACTAGTCTGCTCTTGCATCTGTAAAAATTTCAAGTTGAACAGGTAAGCAGTTATCCTGGAAATTTGATGACAAGATTTGGTTTATGTGCCGCCCGCACGCCCGCACGACCGCCCAACAGCACAAGACGACGACAATATAGCACTTTGTCAAAGTGCGATAAAAATTAAAAATGGCCACCATGTAATTCAGCCAGCATACCCAAAACCTAATCAGATCTTGGCAATAGTCTGCTCTTGCATCTGTAAAAATTTCAAGTTGAACGGATAAGTGGTTTTCCTGGAATTTTGATGACAAGATTTGTTGAAAAATTCAAAATGGCCGCCACATAGTTTACCCAGCATGCCCTTAACCTAATCAGATCTTGGTACTAGTCTGCTCTTGCATCTGTTAAAATTTCAAGTTGAACAGGTAAGCAGTTATCCTGGAAATTTGATGACAAGATTTGGTTTATGTCCCGCCCGCACGCCCAAACGCCCGCACGCCCAAACGCCCGCACGCCCGCCCAACAGCACAAGACGACGACAATATAGCACTTTTTCAAAGTGCGATAAAAAAATATTAATTCAATTTGAAGGAAGTTGAAATTTGCCCTTTAAAAATTTCGAAATTTGACCTTTTTTCAAAAAGGGCATACAATTTTAATAGATAACTAGACTTTGGAAATTGAACGAAGTTCAATTTCAGACTCCAGATCTAGACTTTTTTTAGCCGAGTCATCCAGAATAAGCCGAGTCATCCAAAATAAGCTGAGTCATCCAGAAAAAGATGGATGGATAAAATAGGAAGGTAGGATAGGATAGAATAGGAAGGAACGATAGGATAGAATAAGAAAGAAGGATAGGATAGAACAGAATAGGAAGAAAGGATATGATAGGAGAGGATAGGAAGGATAGGAAGGAAATGATACGAAGGAAGGATAGATAGGAAGGATAGGATAGGATAGGGTAAGATCAGATAGGAAGGATGGATGAATTTTTCAATATTTTGTTCTCTACTCTTGACTTTCTATCAGGATACCATCAGATCGATTTTCCGAAATTTCAAAACGCCATAACTTCCGAACCATGAGTCAAATCGAAATTTGATTTAAAGATTCGGATTCCTGACAAAATTCTACCCCTAATTCATAACTCATACGTTAAATTTGGCAAATTTTTATTTTGACCTACTTTTCGGACACGCCATAACTTCTGAACCGGAAGTCGGATCGAAATTTGGTTTGTAGATTCGGATTCCTGAGAAAATTCTATACTTACTTCATAACTCAAACGTTAAATTTGGAGAATTTTTTATTTTAACCTACTTTTTGGACACCATATCTCAAAAGTGGGGCAAAATACTTCCTGACGGCAAAAGGCTAACACTATTAGCACACTCTTGTCTACATGTATACAAAATTTCGAAGAATATAATTAATCTGTAGTGTCAGAATCGCAAAAATAAGGAAAAACCTTGAATTTGACCTAGATTTTGACCTAGGCATTTTGGGGTCCAAATTTTGAAGCTAGATGGCTTTTGAGGTCCCATTTTTTTAAAAGCTATCATTATATTAAGCTGAACTCAGTCTATATTTCGTATTTTTCACTTTAAAAAAATATTTTTTCCCATTGACTTAACATGGGCACCAAATTTAGCGATTTTTGAGCTTTCAAAACGCCATAACTTCTGAACCGGAAGTCCAATCCAAATTTGGTTTTCAGATTCGGAATCCTGAGAAAATTTCCTATAAGACTAATATCCTGGACATTTGATTCGGAGAATTTTTTTTTGGACCTCGTCTTCGGACACTGATATCTCGAAATCGGTTCGAGATATCAAAAATCTAAATCGTGTTTCTTCATACTACTTTTTTATGAGGAACACAATGAAAAAAAAACCGGATCGAAAATATATTGAAGGACGACTGAGAAAATCGAAAAAAGTGACAAAGTACTGGATTTGACCTAGTTCTTGACCTTTGACCTAGATAAAAATTTGACCCAATTTCCCACCAACTAGATACTGAACCTAAATATACTGTATTATGATCTTTACTGGATACCTTATAGTTATTGAAAAAACTCTTAAAGAAAAATAATAATAAGAAGAAGAATACTGGCAAAAACAATAGACTCCAGATTGACATCTGGAGTCTAATAATAAAATGTTAATATGTGCAGAACCTTTATATCCTGAGTTTCAGTTAAAAATATCTATTTGTAGTCTCTAACTTTGAGAAACTTAGATAATATAGATTGTGACTTAATTCGATAACCTTGACCTTTGACATTAAAAATTCTACTTTTTGAACCCCAGTAGGTCTTTTGTAATTAAGCTGACCTAAATTTGAATCCAAAAAATCAATTTGAAAAATCAACTTTTTTTAGGTCAAATCTCAAATCTAAGGTCAGAGTTGAACTCCTGAGATGATTTTTAAAAAAGAAATTGGGCCAAATTGAAGCAAGTTGAAAAATCACCTATTTTTAGGGCCTCCTAATAATACAAGTTTTCTGTGAAATTTTCAATTCCCTTACCTTTGTATGGATACCTTGTCCCATTTCAACTCCACCATGAGATATTGTGACAGTCCCATCTGCACCATATATGGTCATGTGCACACCATAATTAGCTCCAGTCCAATCAATGTTGAACTTCATAGGAACGAGAGATAAACCCCTCTTCTTCCAGCGATTAGCCTGCAACAAGATTTTTCAAAAAATATCAAACATACAACTTAGGCTGTCCAACAGTGGATACACAAGATTGGCCACCTGCGACTGTTTTCATCGGTAACTGGTCAAGTCGTACCCAAGACAACTCGTACCCAAGTCAAGTCGTACCCAAGACAACTCGTACCCAAGTCAAGTCGTACCCAAGACAACTTGTACCCAAGTTTATGTTTTGTTTTCAATCAAGTGTTGGAATGGGAATGGGTATAGATATACATATTATAATTGTTACATACAGTTCAGAATAGTTGGAAATATGTAGAAGAGTTTTGGAAGAAATCTATTAAATTTTGTGACATTTTGGGCTTTGAAAAAATTAAGTGTCAATCTATTTTGACTATTATTTTATATTGGTCACAGATTCAGGATGTTTGTGGGAAGATACCTATGTTTATTCCACATATTCATAATCATTGTTCAAAATTTTATAGGTATTTTTGTATGTTTATGAGTGTTTGGAACAAGTGTCAGATCTTCAAGATGGTATTATTAAAAATATAAAGATTTATCAAAACCTGGGCCTAATTTCTTATTTAACAGATAATCTATTTAGGACTTCATATTATCAAATTAAAGAATGTTAATTCTAAGGAGTCACATTTATAAAATTTAGCGATAAAATATTCTAAATAATATTATATTATTCATACATGATATAATACGCTTTGTATGCATGTGCTCAAATATAATCCAATTAAGTTCAAAATGGAAAAGAAATTAACAGATTAAACTTCCCTTATTAACTTTATCTAAATGCACTTAGCTAAAGTAATTGTTTGCTTCATTTGTAGAAAAATAACTTGTAATTATATTTATTTATATATATATTATTACAAAAAAGTTGAGCACAAGCCCTTCAAAGTATTTCTTTTATTTAAAGAAGGTGATCCACGTTAAAACAAAATGCTTTGCTTAATCTATTGAGAAAAATGTCTTCCAAATTCAGAAAAAATATTGAGGCTTATTTGATTCACATAATAACAATAAAACATTATACACACTCAATTTTTTTCCTAATATGCACCCATAATACTGAAAATAAACTTGGGAACGAGTTGTCTTGGGTACGAGTTGTCTTGGGTACGAGTTGACGAGGAAGCTTTTCATCTGATCAAGGGAAATATTTTTCTTTATTGTCTTCTTTGCCAATTCTGTTACCACTTCTCATCATAACAAACAATATATTCGATTCACCTTGCCAATAGCTTGTAATCTCTTTCATCTCAATTACTAATTTGTTTAATTACATATTTTTCCATCCATCATACAAGTTTTAAACAAGACACACAGTGATAAATATCGCACTTTGAAGAGCAAACTGGCCACCATGCAATTTACCCAGCATGGCCAAAACCTAATCAGACCTTGGCACTAGTCTGCTCTTGCATCTGTAAACATTTCAAGTTGACAAGGTTAGCGGTTTTCCTGCAATTTTGATGACAAGAATTTATTTGTAGTCTTGAACTTTGGGAAAATTTAGATAACATTGTTTGTGACCTAATTTGATGACCTTCGACCTTGAAAATTTCACTTTTTCAGACCTCAGTAGGTCTTTTGTAATTAGCTGACCTAAATTTAAATCCAAAATATCAATTTAGAAAATCAAATTTTTGACCTTTTCAAGGCCACTGAAGGTCAACGAAAGGTCAAATCTGAAATCTAAGGTCAGATTTGAACTTTTGAGAACTTGTAGATGTTTTTAAAAAAAAATGTGGTCAATTTGGAGCAAGTTGAAAAATTCAAAATGGCCGCCAAATTGAAAAATTCAAAATGGCCACCATGTAATTCAGCCAGCATACCCAAAACCTAATCAGATCTTGGCAATAGTCTGTTCTTGCATCTGTAAAAATTTCAAGTTGAACGGATAAGTGGTTTTCCTGGAATTTTGATGACAAGATTTGTTGAAAAATTCAAAATGGCCACCACGTAGTTTACCCAGCATGCCCTTAACCTAATCAGATCTTGGCACTAGTCTGCTATTGCATGTGTAAAAATTTCAAGTTGAACAGGTTAGCGGTTTTCTTGGAATTTTGATGACAAGAATTGATTTGTAGTCTCAAACTTTGAGAAACTTGGATAACATCATTTGTGACCTAGTTTAATGACCTTGACTTTCGACCTTGAAAATTTCACTTTTTCAGACCTCAGTAGGTGTTTTGTAATTAAGCTGACCTAAATTTAAATCCAAAATATCAATTTAGAAAATCAACTTTTTTGACCTTTTCAAGGTCACTGAAGGTGAAGGAAAGGTCAAATCTGAAATCTAAGGTCAGATTTGAACTTCTGAGAACTTGTAGATGTTTTTAAAAAAAATTTGGTCAATTTGGAGCAAGTTGAAAAATTCAAAATGGCCGCCAAATTCAAAAATTCAAAATGGCCACCATGTAATTCAGCCAGCATACCCAAAACCTAATCAGATCTTGGCAATAGTCTGCTCTTGCATCTGTAAAAATTTCAAGTTGAACGGATAAGTGGTTTTCCTGGAATTTTGATGACAAGATTTGTTGAAAAATTCAAAATGGCCGCCACATAGTTTACCCAGCATGCCCTTAACCTAATCAGATCTTGGTACTAGTCTGCTCTTGCATCTGTAAAAATTTCAAGTTGAACAGGTAAGCAGTTATCCTGGAAATTTGATGACAAGATTTGGTTTATGTCCCGCCCGCACGCACGCCCGCCCAACAGCACAAGACGACGACAATATAGCACTTTTTCAAAGTGCGATAAAAAAATTTAGGTGAAAATATATTTTGATATTGTCATATTGCAAGAACTGCATGTTACACATGTTTAATTCAACAATGTATACATACCTACCTGTCTGTGCTTTATAAAAATTATATAAAATTAATTGGTTTTATGTGTGTTTTATGGGAGTTAGTTTTGTGCTATGATTAGATGTAAACAAACTTTGGTTTCTAGGAAGAAAAATATAGGTCAATGCACATATGTAGAAGTTTATCATGTGTCATGTGTCATTTTCAATTAATTTTCATTCAAGCTAGAAGGACAGTGAAAATCTGATTGAATCTTGTAAGTACTTGCCCACCAATCCCTCCCCAAAAACCACCCATGAATTATCCCTAAGGTTTGATCAAGAAAAAGGTAAGAGATATTGTAAATGATACATGAAGGTAAGCAACTAAAGTGATCACTATTGTATTGGTCAGATGCAATGTTTATGTTTTTGAGAGATAATATAGCTAATTAAAACAAAATTAAATAGGTGACAGAAATGACTACTCCCTAAAAATGCACATAGACAAAAAATACAGATAAAATTTGTCTACTTCCATTTCTTAGTAATAAATATTTGTTACCCTATTGAAGTTTTCAATGTCAGCTTTTCTCTGTAACACCAAGGCAGAGTCCTCTATCTTTGTTACAAGCCCTCTAATATTGCAGAAATCAAGCTCAATTCCTGTTGGTGTCGTCTGTAAAACATCAAATAATCTATATATGATAATAGAATAATATCATACATAATATAATTTTAAACAAATACTGGATGATCAGGAGCTGGATATGGCAGAATACCTATTCGAGAAAAAAATATTGAGCGAGGAGGAGCTTAGATTGTTGATTTTAGTGTGTTGCCATCAGCCTTTTTTTGCAATGTTTGACTCAAGGGTCTTGTCAATACATTGCATGCACGTTCATAAATTGTGTTGTAAGTTGTAAAACAGAACATCATTAACCCAAATGGTATAGCATCAATTAAATACATAAACTTGTGTTAACAAAGTTGGTTTTAAATAAATTGTCTAAATGTACCTGTCCATTTGTGTACAAGTTCTTGGTTTTAACATCTATGGGGTCAAGACTGAGTTTTGTTGCCACATGCTCCATGATGGACTCCATAATGAAGATGGCTGGAGTGGAGCCTGGAGATCTGGTGTATGTGTTACTTGCAGTGTTGGTTTTCATTAAATGGTTACACACCAAGTGCCAATTAGAACAGTTGTAGGCTGTAACAGGTCACAGAATATTCCAGTGCCTGACCATATTATCATACATACATGCAGCTTTCTAATATCAATCTCATAGAGTTGATTGAAATGGACTTGTCTTCTCCAACATAGTATACAAGATTAAAACATATACGCTAGGACAATCAAAGCATCCTGAATTGGGAATGATGCAATAATGACTACCACAATCTGCTTAAAGGTATGTTACCATTGGCAATACAGTTCCACTAAAGCATGGTATCATGAAGGCCTGAAGGGTAATAAAGCAATAAGTTACCATTGTCTATACAGGACCACTAAAGCATGGTATCATGAAGATGAATAAAGCAATAAGTTACCATTGTCTATACAGGACCACTAAAGCATGGTATCATGAAGATGAATAAAGCAATAAGTTACCATTGTCTATACAGGACCACTAAAGCATGGTATCATGAAGATGAATAAAGCAATAAGTTACCATTGTCTATACAGGACCACTAAAGCATGGTATCATGAAGATGAATAAAGCAATAAGTTACCATTGTCTATACAGGACCACTAAAGCATGGTATCATGAAGGAGAATGAAGCAATAAGTTACCATTGTCTATACAGGACCACTAAAGCATGGTATCATGAAAGGGAATACAGCAACAGAACAACGGCAACGCCAAAGCGTAGCGAATCCCATCGAACAGCCATGGCTGGCATTTTTACAAACAAAGTATATATATATATATACTGTCATTCGACAGTGTGCCATGCTTATAGTATTCACATACCAAATATGAACAAAATCGCTCCCCTACTTTTCGAGTTATAGTAAAAAACGTTAAAATGGTGGCCATTTTTCAAAATGGCCACCTTCTACCAAAGTGTCATTAGACAGTGTGGCATGCTTATAGTATTCACATAACAAATATGAACAAAATCGCTGTTCTACTATTTGAGTAATAGTAAAATATGTTAAAATGGCCGCAATTTTTCAAAATGTGCACCATTTTTCAAAATGGCCGCAATTTTTCAAGATGTCCACCATTTTTCAAAATGGCCGCCTTCTACTAGATGTGTCATTAGACAGTGTGCCATGCTTATAGTATTCACATAACAAATATGAACAAAATCGCTCTACTACTTTTCGAGTAATAGTAAAATATGTTAAAATGGCCGCAATTTTTCAAAATGTCCACCATTTTTCAAAATGGCCTCCTTCTACCAAAAGTGTCATTAGACAGTGTGCCATGCTTATAGTATTCACATACCAAATATGAACAAAATCGCTCCACTACTTTTCGAGTTAGAGCAAAAATCGTAAAATAACGAGTAAAGGCCGCCATTTTTTAAGATGGCTGCCATGTGCTTCTTTAATATCTACATTTCTAGCTTTATTAATGTCCTACATAATTTTTTTCATTTAAAACATATTGCTATTACAGTTTTACATATTGCACCTAAATTACTGTAAAATCGGCATTAAAATGGCCACCATTTTTAAATGAGCGGCCATTTTGAAAATTGGCTTTCGAGCAGATGTTCTACCCCCATAGGGTATATGTGTACAAAATATGAACAAAATCGGGCCAACAGTATTTGAGTTATTGCCCAGACGGACGGACATACGTACAGACGTACGTACGTACGGACGGACGGACGGACGGACGGACGGACGGACGGACGGACGGACATATGTTCCCTATATCCCTCCGAACTTCATTTGATGGGATAATTAGTTACCATTGTCTCCACAGGACAATTACAGAATGGTATCATGAAGGGGAATGAAGCAATAAGTTACCATTGTCTATACAGGACCACTAAAGCATGGTATCATGAAGGAGAATACAGCAATAAGTTACCATTGTCTATACAGGACCACCAAAGCATGATATCATGAAGGAGAATGAAGCAATAAGTTACCATTGTCTATACAGGACAATGAAAGCATGGTATCATGAAGGGGAATACAGCAATAAGCTACCATTGTCTCCACAAGACCATTAAAGCATGGTGTCATGAAAGGGAATAAAGCAATAAGTTACGGTTGTCTCCAAAGTACCATTAAAGCATAGTATTATGAAGGGGAAAAAAACAATAAGTAAGCACTGTCTATACAGAACCCCTAAAGCATGGTATCATGAAGGGGAATACAGCAATAAGTTACCATTGTCTATACAGGACCACCAAAGCATGATATCATGAAGGAGAATGAAGCAATAAGTTACCATTGTCTATACAGGACCACCAAAGCATGATATCATGAAGGAGAATGAAGCAATAAGTTACCATTGTCTATACAGGACCACCAAAGCATGATATCATGAAGGAGAATGAAGCAATAAGTTACCATTGTCTATACAGGACCACCAAAGCATGATATCATGAAGGAGAATGAAGCAATAAGTTACCATTGTCTATACAGGACCACCAAAGCATGATATCATGAAGGAGAATGAAGCAATAAGTTACCATTGTCTATACAGGACCATGAAAGCATGGTATCATGAAGGGGAATACAGCAATAAGCTACCATTGTCTCCACAAGACCATTAAAGCATGGTATCATGAAGATGAATAAAGCAATAAGTTACCATTGTCTATACAGGACCATGAAAGCATGGTATCATGAAGGGGAATACAGCAATAAGCTACCATTGTCTCCACAAGACCATTAAAACATGGTATCATGAAAGGGAATAAAGCAATAAGTTAGGGTTGTCTCCAAAGTACCATTAAAGCATAGTATTATGAAGGGGAAAAAAGCAATAAGTTAGCACTGTCTATACAGAACCCCTAAAGCATGGTATCATGAAGGTGAATAAAGTAGTAAGTTACCATTGCCTCCACAGGACCATTAAAGCATGGTATAATGAAGAATAAACCCAATAAGTTACCACTTTCTATCTATTCAGGACAACCAAGACATGACATCATAAGAGGGAAAAAGCAGAGTTACCATTTTCTGAACAGAACCACCAAATAAAGCACTGATTTACCATTGTCTGCCCAGGACCACCAAGGCATGGTATCATTGGGAGAACATCCACAGTCAATGTAATACTCTATCTTCACTCCTTCAAGCACACCATCCACCCTACAGCCAACTTTGTATTTTGCCAGAAATGGGAATCTTTTTCCGATCATTTTCATGTTTGTTTCCAAGTCCAAGTGTACACGTACTGGCCTAGATAATATACATTACAGCAGATAAACAATAATTTTCATTTTCTATTTCATTCATTAAATTGTCATACAGAGATAATTTGTTGATACAATCGATGACTGAAGAAGAGATACACAAGGCATTAACATGACAACCTGTCGATCACCAACCACCAACCGCCGTCAAAACAACGGAGGCCATAACAATATGTCACCACTTTTTGGTGGTGACATAATAAATGACTCAAAAATGTCCTAAACCTATTAAGTCCTTGATGTTAATTCTACCTGCATTAATCCATGAAGCATTCGCTCATAAAATTCAAATGTAGAATAATGGCAGGTGGATAAATGAATGGCTTTTCTATATTCCTACCAGAAGTTTGGTTTGTTGGGATAATATAATTTTATTTACCTGTTCAGTGAATATGCGGCTAATGCTGCAGCAGAAGAGACATGAGCATTCCTTGTGATCTTGGCCCCATAGGCCCCACCGGTCTTGCCAATCTCAACATACACACTGAATTAGAAATAATACATTACGTGTAAAATGGTAAATACATCTAGGTTATTTTAGCTGTAGCTCCCACTTTTGAAATCATCTGTTGACAAATCAAAATGATTCTTCTTATGTATTTTTATAATTTTTTTTGTTTTTAGTGAAATATCTTGGGTGAATGTTTTCCTTCACATTCTTACTGAATATCAAAAATAATTGAAAGGACGGGTGTCATTAAGGGCTCTTTTTAGCCCCCAAAGATATATGATAACAATGCATATCATATTGAAGAAAAATCATTTGTGCTTTATAAAAATACAATTTCAGCGAATTTTGACCTTTGATGTTCACACAACAGTCATTTAAAGATCATATACCATTTTTGGTGTTTTTACAAAAAATTCTTTATTTATTGTTGTCTAAGTAAATAGTATATAAATATTAACCAATTTAAATATATTAAAATGTAATATATGAAATACTGAAGAAAAGATAAGATTAAAATTATTTTCATGGAAAGCACATATAGGGCAATATTGACAAAATGCAAATGCTATTTTGGTAGGTTCTGGGCTAGGAATGGGTACATTTCAACTGTGAATGTAATGGATTACTATTGAATTTTATCAATTATCACAGGGCAACATTTAAGCAACTTAAATACAAGGAAAATCAAAGATTTCCTCTCATTTCTAAAACGAGGAGCAAAAGCATGAATTCAAGGAAAATAAATGATGGCCTGTGCCAAAATATATAACATATAAGAAAGTTGTGGCACAGTAAAGGATATGTATAGGATATCATATGATTTTAAATGATTTCATCTTTATCTCCGAGGTGATATCAATATCTTGCCAAGTTAGCATAGCGAATTAGCGCAGATATTGATATCAATGAGTTGGATTAACACAATATCACGAAAATTCATAGGATGTTCTATTTTTCCCATAGTTCACCTCTAAAACTAAACAAAGCATATCAAAACAACATCCATTCATTCATTCATCCCCGTGATGTCATGAAATCACTATGTAACAAAACACATCATATTGGTGGTAGTTTTCAAATCCCTGCCAAAAGGTGATATCTGTGAAATATTTTCCGTATTTCCACAGATATCACTTTTTCCACGCATTTGCAAAATATCATAAATATGTTTTCATGTTACCTAACAGAGCAGAACAGAGTTCAACTATGGGATAAAGAATAAAAAATATGTACATAATTGAATAACCACTCCAAAAATATTAAATATGAGGGTTTAAAGGAAGAATATTGAATATGAGATTCAAAAAGACAAGTGGCCTCATGTCTCACATTACCCAAACCCCAGATCCTCGATGTCATATATACTTGTATACTGTATATCAATGTTATTTACTGGGAGGATTAAATATGGAGTGTATACGATATTTCCAGATGGATATTTTTTCCCTAGAAGCGGAACCCAAACTCAGTCATGACATAGAAGCTAACTTTTGCAATTAATAGAAACTTTTTTTATTATATTTTTGTGTTCTCTATTTGAGATGAAATAATATGAGATTCATTTCTACAAGAGGATGGAACGAATGTGAAGTTGTATATTGACCTATACTCCTTTTCTGAATAAACAGAACAACATTTTATCCAAGCCAATTAAGAAAACCAAGGCCAATGAGTGTAATTTATGCCCAGTTAAACTAACACAGTAACAACTTTTTGTCTGGACTCACTTATTATGTAAGAATAAATTGTATTACTGTTTACTGCATTAAATGTCAAGTATACTATCTGTATTTAATTTCAAAGCCTATCTCACTTATCAAAGGTATACAAGAAATGTTATTTTGAAACAAATTCAGCACAACCAAAACCATGTCCACATAATATGACAAATCCAAGATGGCTGCCACAATTTTAGATCCATGCACATGTGAAGAAGTTAGAAATACACATGGTCCACAAGTTCCATCCCCAATAAAATGGGAAGTTTAAGGTTTTCACTCATATCAACTCTATTCCTATATACTTTATATTTGTGGTAAGGCTTGTGATCTAGGTAAACTAAGCATGTTCATGTACCTCCGATCCTCTGAAGCTAAAAACAGAAATAGTAACTTCAATTGAGAAAAATTAATCTTATGGGCTCCATATACATTTAGAGTGGCTGTCCGGCTTAAGTTAGATACTACTGATAATCTGAGATTGAAAATTATGTCAAGTTTGTCCTCAGCCTCTCATAACGGATAACTTGGAGGTAATTGTGTTGTTACTGCAAAAACCTCTATTTCTTCATCACAAATCTACCATCTTTTGCATCTGTCAAAACCCTTCATTTCATGTTAATTTTCAGACTTTTGCTTGTGCCATCATTAAATATATATATTCAACTTGTTATTCAGAATATTTTAAGAACTTTTCATGAATTTTTTATTTTCACACTTTTGAAAAAATGACTAAGTCAGAGAATGGCCTCTTAATGGCATGTCCCCTTTACAAATTTTTGATTTATCTTCTTCAGGTAAACTGTTAACCTGAAGAAAATTTAGAAATATTCTTCTTCTTTGGGTTTACCTGAAGAAGATTTAGAAAATTTGTAAATCTCAATCATGAGTTTACCTGAAGATATTTAAAATATAATATTTAAAATTATGAAATATTTGCATTTTTATCTGTTCAATACAACAAAAATATATTTCTCTATATGATTCAACAAAACCCAAAACAAAATGAGATTTCAAAGTTGATAAATAAATTGTAAAACCAAATATGTTGATAATTTTTGTAACGTTGCCTTGGTAAGTAGATTTCAAATATTAAACATTTGAAGATCTAATAATGAAAGTCAAGTTTATTTCTGGAATCAAGTCTACATGTATTGTAATGATATATTTCTTGCCACATGTTACAAACCTATTGTTTGGAATGTTTAAGGCCTGAGCTGCTGATTGCTGTATGTTGTCAGTCCACTGTGTTGTAGGGTAGATTTTCAAGCCATCCTCAGTGGGAATACATAAGGTTGCCTGTAGAGTAAACAAATAATAGAAAACAGCAACCCCAAGGAGTAGCAAATCCCATGTCTAAAATGTTCAGGTGTTCTATTTCCAACCAATTTGAACAAATGGACATAAAATAGACATAAAAAGTCTTCTGCTAGAGTATTGCAAAGGACAATTTTCTGCGATTGGCAATCTAATCTGTTGGATTTTTCAGGACATACCTGTCAATCTTAAAGATGACTTATATTTGTGATATACTCTTAAGCTTCAATTCAAATAGAATAAATTAAGTGTACATGTGATTGCAAGTGTATATGTGTAAGTGTACCACTGTACCTGTGTCTCCATGTGGAAGTGGTACTGAGAACCCATGCCTATTGCTCCAGTAAGTTTCTGTTCTGCAGATGCAATGGCACCTTGAACAAATTAACATACAGAATTTCCACTTATTTTACTTACACCTTTTGCAATGTGATATATACAATACTATGGTTTTGGTGTTGAATGAAGGTGATAAGGGAACAAGATATGCATGCAACCTCGGTCAACTCTTTTAAAACATAATAGAAGATATATATAAACCTTGAACTGTGATTTAATGACCTTTGACCTGGATGTGTGTATCTGTGTCATCTTTGGTCCACAATACAATTCATCTAATAATCATTTTCACAACCCATACTATTCTATGCTATTTGTTCCTTATGACTATACACACACACATTTTCAATACCAACTAAAATAGGCCTATATTCTATTATATATATATGTACTATTTTATTTACTATATACCTTCAGCATCACCAATGACAATATCCTCCTGAGAACTTGGAAAAGATGATCCCTTTTCTATAGCATCTTCTATTGTCAAAATAGGTGGCTCTGAATCTTTGTAAGTGACCTTCACCTTGTAGGCAGCTGAGTATAGTGTAGAGACAGAATCTGAATAAAATACAATCCAATATTATACAAATATTTTGTTCTAACATGGGAGAAGGGATATCAAAAGCAAAGTGTAAGAAATATGTGCTCTTAAGAATGAGACTCAAGTCCATACATACACTACAGTGTACATATCAAAGGAGGGATATTGAGAAATGGGCTAATGTGCTTACCAATGAAGAGTAAGCATCACATAAAAATGTCAAAGGGTATTTTACATGTATGTCATGCGACAGTGTGTCATATGTTGAATATTAGGATATTTTTATATTATACAGCAATCAGTGACAGATATGTGCTTTCATTGGTTCAATTGCTACATGTAAGGCAACAATAATACAACATTAATTAAATCAACAAATTAAATTGGATATAATACTCATACCCTGGCCAAGATTAGTAATTGTGATTTTAAATAAAGAGTTGTTCTCATTATACGAGATGTGCATCATACAGTGCCCATCATGCAATGATTTATTAATCCAGCAAAAATATTTAGAATACAATTATACCTATATATAAGTAATTATACCTATATATAAGTAACAAGGCACAGGACGTGAACGAGATCACACCATCAAATAGGCAGACACTATGAACCAGGAAAACTGTTCTTCTATTATGTTTACAAATTTCAAGAACAAGAAACAAGATTTTTCAAAAAACCTTCAAAATGGCCACCAGAAAACAAGATGGCCGCCCAAAAGTTAATCAGCTCTAGTACTTGATATCCTCTATCATTTGTGTAAATTTGAAGGAAATCCGATGAGCGGTTTTCCTGAAATGGCGATGACAAGATTTTTCGAAAAACCTTCAAAATGGCCACCAGAAAACAAGATGGCCGCCCAAAAGTTAATCAGCTCTAGTACTTGATATCCTCTATCATGTGTGTAAATTTGAAGGAAATCCGATGAGCGGATTTTCTGAAATGGCGATGACAAGATTTTTCGAAAAATCTTCAAAATGGCCGCCAGAAAACAAGATGGCCACCCAAAAGTTAATCAGCTCTAGTACTTGATATCCTCTATCATTTGTGTAAATTTGAAGGAAATCCAATGAGCGGTTTTCCTAAAATGGCGATGACAAGATTTTTCGAAAAACCTTCAAAATGGCCGCCAGAAAACAAGATGGCTACCCAAAAGTTAATCAGCTCTAGTACTTCATATGCTCTATCATCTCTGCGAATTTGGAGAAAATCTGATGAGCAGTTTTCCTTAAACGGCGATGACAAAAAGCGGGACGATCACGACCACGATCACGACCACGACCACAATCACGACCACGACCAGTATGACGACTATATCCCACCGATGGTGTGATAAAAATCAGGGGAATAAGGGCAAATAGAATGAAATGAATGAATGAAAAATGACCCCTATTAACCACAGTTATACACACATCAAATAAGCTGTCAAAACAGACAGCAAAAATAAATAGTAAATTCTATGAAATTAACTAAAATGTTGACAGCTTTAGAATTGTTCTTTAAAATTAAAGAGGCCATGTCTTCTGGTTTTTCTCCCGGATAATCAGCGAAGTTCCATTTTAATTGCCTATAAACTTACATACCTTATTATATAATGAGACCAATTCTTGAGCACAGTATTCACAATATATTGAGAAAATCAACAGAACTAAAAACTAAACTAAAACTAAAATACAATCATTTTATCTGTATTTTAAAACTTTTGGAAGTGATTAATATGTAACTAAGACAACTAGAAAACAGCAACTCCACGGAGTAGCAAATCCCACTGAACAAAATATGTCTTCTTGAACAGAGCTCCCTTGTCCCTAGGTATTAGCATATAAAATTTGAACCAAATCTGTCCGCTGGTATTTGAGTTATCAAAGATTACGATTTTTACAAAAAATGGTGGTCAACCGATCAACTGTCAACCAGTATTTGAGTTATCACCCGGACAAACAGACGGATGAACAGACAGCTTCTACGTTCGTTGGGATAACTAGAAATGTGTTATTAGCCTGTTTAAAAAATGAAGAAACTGAAAACAAAAATAAAAAAATTGTTACAGCCAAGATTCGAACCCAGAAATCAGACGCCAATGCTTCATATGGTTGGTGCATAGAAAAACAACCCTAAAATGAAAAATAAAATTACCTGCTACCAAAAGTCCGATAGCCTGTCCAGCATATTCCGTTCTTCCACTACAAAATATCTCCTCTCTGGCTGCTCCCCCTGTTGAAAAACTGTTAAGTCCTGGGATGTCTTTGGCAGTAAAGAAAGCTTCAACACCAGCTACTCTCTGAATTACAGATAATATAAGTGTTAGGACATTATGCTTGAAAATGTGAACTGAATCTAGGGCCAGGTTGAAATGCATTTACTTTTAAGCGAATACAACATATGTATAGAGACCCACTGTGCTGTGAGTATTGCTGAGACAGGTGCATCAAAATCCAAATTGTCGGAGGAAAGGTGTTATTTGTTTCTCTTTTCTTTACCCCTGTAACCTTATCTTACCTAAAAATCTTATTCCATATGTTGTATAAAAGCCCTAAGATGAATTTGGCAAAAGGAATCAGTGATTGGCTTAACCAAAATACATGAACTGAAAAAACCACCTAAAGAATAAAGATAAGGTACATGGCGTATAACAAAACACTACAAGCAGTTATCTCGTAACACAAAACTAGTGATAACTACATCAATTTTATTCAATGAACCATAAAGCCAAGTCCCCCCTCTTTGCAATCATATGGCATTCATTCACATGTTGTCATGGTTGGGTGAGAAATCCTTCCATTTACACAGTGGGTCAAAATCGGCTCTGGACCAAGTTTCAGATATTGCAAAAATCAGTGCAAGTGCTAAGGGCCAATGGAAGTTCTCCTGACTTGAATTGTTGTGACTTTTTCTTTTGGAGCTATCTCAGACGCATCTGTGCTCACCATTCCTCCACCAGATATTTCAAAACTTCGGTAAAGAAATTCCAATGGGCTGCTTTTCTCTGCCTTAACCCACAGATGACTCAGAGCTGAGCCATGAATGGCATGGAGAGATAAGGGCATCTTTGTGTGCTAAGAAGTGGTGGCAATTTGGAGGGGTGTAGGATGTAATCATGCACGAGTATGAGTATGAACACTTTACTGTCTATGTCATACCTGCCACACCTTCCTATCCCCTAGTCAGTCGTCATTGGTTTTATATTTTCTTCCAATATTGCATTGGGCCTCGTACACTGACTTCCGCGATGTCTATAAATTGGTCCCAAGCTAATTTTGGGCCCACTTTGCAAAAGGAATGATTACTCGCCCAACCATGACCCAATACCAACAAATGATATACCATTGGAAAGAGGAGACACATGGCTTTATGATACATTGAATGAAATCAATGCTGTTATTACTGGTTTTGTACCATATACATAGTATCTAACATTCCATGCCTATCTGGAGTTCCCAATTGCCTTCAGTAACGAGTAAAAAGGCTTGTTACGAAAAAATAATGCGAATTTACCATTTGGATATTCTTATACTCATGCAACCAATACACAATTTAAAGATGAATATTATATGATATATTAGTATGTTGAACAATATGCAAAAAATGTTTTTCTTCAGATGTAAACCAAACCTTTTTGGACGTCTGAGATGTTGATACTCGCAATCCAGGCCTAGCAATTCTTTTTGTGCTTTACGCATTTGATATATTTATTCCATGTTATTCCCGAGGTAAATATGAAGTTTACCATGGTCAAATAGAAGCACAAGACTCAACTTTAGTACAAAAATCTAAAGTGTGAAAAAATGTTTTATTATTTTTGATATTTCATAGCTTTTTAAAAAAAGTTACAAATATTATATGGCATTTATATCTTTACATCATAAAATTCATCACATACGAACAATTGTTAAAGTCCCCGTCTAAAGTTTGAATTTTTTTTTCAATATTCATTTACTATTTGTCAGGACTTAAAAAGTGATTTTAGAGATTTTTGAACAAAAAAATTTTTTTGAAAAAAAAGTTGTGAGCATTTCATTTCTCAAATATTCAAATTTCCCGCCATTTTTCAAAAAAAGTTGAAATTTCTTAATCATCAAATATTTCTTAATGCATTTCAAAAAAGATTATATTTTTAACACCAATGCAAAGATTGAACAAAAGACTATTTCAATATTAAAATGTCATATTTAATGGGCCACTTCAATGTTTTAGCTTGTCAAAAATATTCTGAAACATTAGTGATGTCACTAAGGTAACAAAAACTTTTTGAAAAAAATTGAATTTTTTTTTTCGATGTCAATCTTTTCTAAATATGCTAGACTTTCATAAAAACCAATGTTGATTGTCTAACCAGGTTAAAAGGAAGAATAAATTATGTTTTAGATATCATTGTACCATTGGTTTCTATGAGAACTAAAATTTTGAAATGCATTTTTCTCAGAACCATTTTCATGCACTGATAAGTTCATTTCTCGCTTGTTTATCAACTGATTTTCTTAATTTTTTCGGCAAAGAACATGGGAGGATGATTGCTATGCATTGTTATGAATTGTGGCTAATTAGAAGATACGAGTGACCTCTAAAAGTTGGTTTTAAATAAATTCACAAATTTTGGAACAAAAAGTCTATCAAAAACCACTTTTTGAAATTAAAAAAAAAAGTTTCACATATCACACTTTGATAACATTGGGTAAGACTACAATATAAGCCAAAGTGGTTTAAACTTTACATGGGGCCTTTAAACTGATGTATATTTTTCAAAGCATATGAGTTATATGATGCCTACAAAATCTAAATCAATCATCAGTAACCTGTAATGTAAAAACAAATAAATCATTTTAAAATAACCATTGAAATATATTTGAATTTCGACGCACCTACCTGTCTCGGCAATACTCGCAGTACAGTGATTCTCTATACATACTGTGGAAGAAGAGCCCCTTAGGATTGACATATAAGATGCAATTTACCCCTGGTTCTTACACACTTTTGGCAAGATTGGGGAGTTGACTTAATGGATCTGGTGGACTGACAGAGTTTCTCTAGTTATAATGTAGTCTACATGTAGTTAATTGTTTCATCACAAGGGAGTCAATTATGCTATGTAAATTACAATTATATTTCATGATAATATATTTTTGAAGAATTATGAAATTCTGGTAGACATAGAATTTCTCTAGTTCTAAAGTTCTCTACTTAATAATTTCATCACAAGGGGGTACTCTTATTGAATACAATTACATTTTATAATATACATTTTTGAAGAATTTTGAAAATCAATCGTTTCAAGCTTTATCAAAGTTATTTTAATAATATGAAGGAACCTTTTAGTAGAATTCAATGTTAAAGATTATATATTTGTCCAAAATATATAATAAAAATTATAAATTTCTTCTATGCCTTCTATGTAAGCTTTAAATCATAGCTTTTAAAACACTTATTCATTTCTTCAAAGAATCAATTTATTTTATTGAGACTTTCAAACTGTATCCAAAAGTCTTTTTCAAGATTGAATTTTTAAAAAATGCATACAGATGGACTGACTGACTGCTGACAGATATCTGACTATGTGTACGAAATTTATATGCATGCACACACAGACACATTAGTTAGAATCAGATCTTAAAGTTGTCGCTATATTAAACAATAGCTTTCTCTTGAAAGCCTATAATTTAACCTTTTTTACCTTGTAATCAAATGTAATAATAAATATACCATTCCATTCTCAAAATTCATTTCGTTCGTTGCGTACCTTCACTACCTCTCTCTAAAATAGTTCTAAAATTCCCGGGGTACGATCTTAGAAAGCTTCAGAAATTAGTACAATCTGTAATACTTTATCAACAACGCCGAAACTTTAATATAACATAAATTATAACGTTTACAAATGATTTTACTATCAAAATTGGTAATCTACGTTGTATTTGATGTGTTTTTAGGTAAAAATCTCCGCGGAGCAACAAATTGTAAAATGTCAAGATCGATAATCACTGGGATCAACATTACTACACGTTTTCAAGATGGCGGTGTAAAAATTTTCTGAAAACGCTTCAAATAATATTATGTTAATTTCTGGCGAGTTCACCAATATCATAACTTGTTATCTAGTAACAAGATAGAGAAATATGTAAGAAATTCAATTTTATCGATCAAAACATCACATCGACATTTTGTATTCGTTTATTAGACGATGAAAATTACGAATATTGGGATGACGTCACTTCAAAACGAACTGCATAGCAACGGTGTTAATAAACAATTTCCGATCGGATGAGGTAAGCACAGGAGGTACGGATGGCACTGGACGAAAGGCTCGGAGACTGATACCATTCCTATCTGCAACTAATGTGAAAATTATCAAAATATTTAATTACCCTAGGTAATTACAGAATAGCTTAACTAAACTTATCCTTGCTTGATTTTAATCTCCATTATGTCTTGCACAAATGTGTTTATCCTGGCATGTGGCATTGTTGTTTTCAATCACAGTTTGGCTTTTGTTTTAAACAAGATTATATGCGATGAGTTAAATACAAATACAAAATAAACAAAGTTGTCACTCAAAACAACATTTTGCAAAACCAGCAAACATTGAAAACATATATGAGTGCTTATATTTTCCAGTCCTCATACTAGGCTATACCATTTGTAGAATACAGGAGACAATTCTGACTAAAGCTATTTCTCAGCGGTTTTCCAGAACAATGAAGGTTATCATATGAGAGACTTAAAGGTACAGTATGTCACACATTCTCTATTAAGATGAGGTTCTGTATACATTTGGGCATTACAAAATGGAAATGATCACCATGAATTCATATAGCAGATTCGCATATACCAGGGTTTGGGAAAATGAGTGATAGGTGTTGGATACCATTGTTTACCATCTTCAAGGTCACTACAGTATAATGTTTATATCATTGACCTTTAAAGGTTTAACATTCTATATTTTCAGGTATGCTTTTACATTATAGGTATGCCACAATAATGCTGTTAGTGACACACTACATTATGTTTGTATTACTCTCTTTTAATTGTATGCAAGACGTTAAAAATGTGTGTAGTATGTATAGACAAGGCATTAACATGACAAAATGTCACCACCTAAAACAATTTGGTCAATTCAAAGCAAGTTGGAAAATACCTTTTGACCTTAAGAAGGTTTTTGAAGATTTGAGCTTCTGGGATCTTGTAGATGATTTTGAAAAAAGAAATTGTTCAATCTGAAGCAAGTTAAAACTAGTTGCACACAAATCTTAAGTCAGATTTGAACTTCTTAGAACATGTAGATGATTTTGAAAAAAAAATTCGTCAATTTGAAGCAAGTTGAAAAAATACCTCTTTGACTTTTTTTGACATTGAGAAGGTCATTGAAGGTCAAATGTCAAATGTAAAGTCAGATTTGAACTTCTGAGAACATGTAGATGATTTTGAAAAAAAAATTAAGTAAATTTGAAGCAAGTTGAAAAAAGACCTTTTTGACCTTGAAAAGGTCATTGAAGGTCAAATGTCAAATCTAAAGTCAGATTTGAACTTCTGAGAACATGTAGATGATTTTGAAAAAAAATTAGTCAATTTGAAGCAAGTTGAAAAAAGACCTTTTTGACCTTGAGAAGGTCATTGAAGGTCAAAGGTCAAATCTAAAGTCAGATTTGAACTTCTGAGAACTTGTAAAGTCAAATTTGAACTTCTGAAAAGATGTAGATGATTTTGAAAAAAAGATTTGGTCAATTTGAAGCAAGTTGAAAACAGACCTTTTTGACCTTTTTTGACCTTGAGAAGGTCATTAAAGGTGAAATGATAAATCTAAAGTCAGATTTGAATTTCTGAGAACATGTAGATGATTTTGAAAAAAAAAATTAGTCAATTTGAAGCAAGTTGAAAAAAGACCTTTTTGACCTTTTTTGACCTTGAGAAGGTCATTGAAGGTCAAATGTCAAATCTAAAGTCAAATCTAAAGTCATATTTGAATTTCTGAGAACATGAAGATGATTTTGAAAAAAAAATTTAGTCAATTTGAAGCAAGATGAAAAAATACCTTTTTGACCTTTTTTGACATTGAGAAGGTCATTGAAGGTCAAATGTCAAATCTCAAGTCAGATTTGAATTTCTGAGAACATGTAGATGATTTTGAAAAAAAAATTTAGTCAATTTGAAGCAAGTTGAAAAAAGACATTTTTGACCTTTTTTGACTTTGAGAAGGTCATTGAAGGTCAAATGTCAAATCTTAAGTCAAATCTAAAGTCAGATTTGAATTTCTGAGAACACGTAGATGATTTTGAAATTTTTTTTTAGTCAATTTGAAGCAAGTTGAAAACAGACCTTTTTGACCTTTTTTGACCTTGAGAAGGTCATTGAAGGTCAAATGTCAAATCTTAAGTCAAATCTTAAGTCAGATTTGAATTTCTGAGAACACGTAGATGATTTTGAAAAAAAAATTTAGTCAATGTGAAGCAAGTTGAAAAAATACCTTTTTGACCTTGAGAAGGTCATTGAAGGTCAAATGTCAAATCTAAAGTCAGATTTGAACTTCTGAGAACATGTAGATGATTTAGAAAAAAATTGAAGTCAGTCTAAACAGTATATGTTAAGTTATAGGAAGTTGTAAGAAATTGTTACAGACGCCGGACGCCAACCTCCAACCGCCGTCGCACCAATTTAAGCATTTGGGTGACTATTTAGCAGTATCAAAGGCACAACTTATATAGACATACAATATTTATGATCTAATGCAGTATACATGTATAACCATACTTTGAAGATAACTCTTTAATGCAAAATCCCACATTAAGCAGCGACTTTGACTTTCCGAAGCCTGAATCAGAAAACAATGCAATGTCTGCAATCTACTCTAAATTGGCTTTCATTTGAGTATAATAAAGCTATACTTCAGAAAAATCTCAAAATTGCCGAACATTCCTATTTTCCCACTACATGTATTTACCAATACGATCTTTCCACCAAATATGAAGAAAAAAATTTCTACAAGTTTTTTCAATAGTTATTTTTTTGACAGACAGATGGAAAGATGGGTGGACAGACAGAGGGCTTCACTATATCCCTACAGATTTTGGTACATTGGGATATCAATATTGTGTCTTAAATTGATCTTATCTATCAAGATATGAAATCCTAAACAAAACATTTGAACAGTGCCTCAAAGCTTAGTTTAAAGCTAATTACAGGCTACCATTTATCTAATTTGTCTGATTGCTTTGCTTTATTTTGATATGCACACAATTGGTTCTTATGTTTTTGCTAATTTAGTATGACAGCAGAATCAAGATTTAAACATAATCATTGTTTATTTTGTGATTTAGTCGGATAATAGCCCAGGATTGTGCCCTATTAGAAATAATTTGTCCATATGTCAAGCAAGTTTATGTTAATATTAAATGATGTAATCATGCAGGTTGCATGGAATATTTATCATGAATAATGTAAGCTTTCATAAACAAAATTAATAAGAAATTAATAAGAAATTAATAAGAAATTGTATATCAGATGTATGATAGATTCTTATGGATTTAAAATGCAGTCAGGATTTCAATGACGAGAAATTTCAATACGTATATTGAATGAGCATTTGATAAATGAAAATAATGAACAGGTAATAGGAACATTTATGGCAAAGGATTGGATTGGATCGATATGGCGAACTGAATTCAACATTGTTTTTCTCTTAAAGCAATTATTGAAAAGATTTTGTAAAAAAAATCCTTTACATGTACATTTGTATGTAATGCTGACTGATTGACAACATATGTTTTTTCATGGGCTTTCAACTAGAAGGGTAGGCAACTTCCCATATTTCATACATAAGCATTGCCTTGGTTTTCAAAATTGGAGAATGTACACATTCCAAGAAAATCTTATTCTGTACTTTTTATTGATGATTTAAAGAAATAAGTGAAAAATAAAAACATGATTATCTCCATACATGTTGATAAATTAATAAAAAATGGAATTCATCATAATTATGACAATACAGAAAGTGAACATTCTCCCCACAAATTATGTTTTTATTGGAATGTGTTCTTGAATAATTACCCACAATGCAATATTCAAAGAGAACATCTTGATCCCTTTTATTCTTATTGGTCTTTTTTGTTTACTTTTACATGATATTGAATATATTTCATGCTTAAATCATATTGAAAATTGATTTTTTAGTCAAAATAATACTAAAACATATACATTTATCTGATACTTTTTGAAATAATAGCATAAAAGGGAAGCATGGCACTGCTCATTTTGAAGGTCTCATGTTATTACACAGAGTTGCATACCCTTCTAATTGAAAGCCCATGGTTTTTTATAACTGTTTTTGTTAACTTTTTTTTGATTTTTAGTGCAATTGTTTTTTGTTCCTTTCTGCCAATTCTTGAGAATGAAATAAAATATCTTTCTGAATCTTCTTGGAACAAAATACCATATACAACATTTTCTTAGACCTCTCAATATTATATCGTACATGTAGTTATACAAAGGAAAATTTGGTTGATTTAACAAAAGTATTCAAATATTTAAAACAAAAAAAACCCCAAAAATTCAGAATATTTTGATAGACTGGTTTAAGAGAAACATGTGTCCAATTCAGTTCGCCATATCGATACCTTGATGATAGCATCAGCAAACTCGGCACGAGCCTTGAGCCAGGCAGCCAATCAGGGCTGGTTTTTAATTTCTTTTCTAATTTCCAGAACTGCCATTTACAGAGTTCCTTTGGTCACGTAACCATACTATATAGTAGTACTATCATTCAATTAGTAGCCACCTACATGACAAAGAGAAATCACTGAACTAAAGGTTATAGACTGATACATATTCTGTACTTATTCCCCCCTGACTTATCCCATATAGCTAAAATCCTCTTGGTAGTGAACACATATCTTCAGTGAGTGAACATGTTCAAAGGAGTTCATGTTTCATAGGTTTGACTGTATGGGGTTTATCGGAGATCAATACAAAGCCGTCTCAACATGAACATTATGTATAACAGCCTTATTGTTATATATAGCAACTAGGAACAAAAGGGACGAGAATTTGGTATAAGTATTGAAGTATTGAATTTTCCACTTACACAGCTAGTCCATATATATATAGGCACAAGTATTTAAGAGGCATATTGGAGAATATATTTAATGGACGTTGGGCATCTAGTTGCTATATACATACACATAATTTATACTGTATTGGAAACTAAATGTATATAGTTACAAGTCAGAAAATTTCACATGCTAGTTGGATATCAAAGAAAAATATATAGGATAATAATGTAACAGATACACAGAGTTAAACTTAGGTATGTTGTTAATTATATTTACTTTATTGTACCACTTGTTACATGTTCCAGTATACTTTTTTAAGGTATTAAGTACAACGCTTTTGGTGTAACAATTAATACATGCAGAATCAAGTAAAAGCTCAGAATAAAACTCTATTAAAATTGAGAATTTGCAATAAACACATTATTATAAACAAGACATTTTATCGTTAGTTAGTCCTATTTTATGTTATGCATGTGAAATATGGTATGATAAAAAGCAAATGAAAGCAATTGAGTCAATACATTTGTCTTTTTTAAAGTCAACATTAGGCGTTAAACTCAAACTGCAAGCCCTGCTGTATATGGTGACCTAGGTAGATACCCATTATCAATCAAAATTGAATCTTTACATATATTTTTATTAGATTTCTAAATTTTCCAGAGAGTAATGTATTAAATCAAGCATACTTATATGATAGGGGTAATCAAGAGTTAGGATTTAAAAGTTGGTCAAGCAAGGTTTATGATATACTCAGAAAATGTGATTTATTAGATTATTGGAATAATCAAAATCTGGATACTGAAAATCTGGTGAACATGGTCGAAAAGAAATTAAAAATATTATTTGTAGAAAAATGGAAAAATGATTTGAACATTTATCCTATACTGAGAATGTACAAATTATTTAAAAATGATTTTGGTAAAGAATTGCATTTGAAACTAGATAATAAAAAGTATAGATTGGCTACAAGTAGATTTAGAATGAGTTCTCATCAGTTAGCAATTGAGACTGGAAGACATACAAAGCCAAAGCCAAAACGTTATAGAGGAAAGATTATGCAATATTTGTAAAGATGTAGAGGATGAATGCCATTTCTTTTTAACTTGTACAAAAAATGATGAGAATAGGCAAATATTATATACAAAAGCCCGTGAAATTTTACCTAACTTGGATTTACAAAGTGAAAATTTATTTGTCAATCTTATTTCTAGTAAAAATGTAACCTTGCAAAGACATATATTGGCAAATTCATTTACCATTCATTTAAGAATTTAGCATGGTCATAATGCATTGTGTGTGCACCACACTATTATTGTTACCTTATATGTTTTTTTTAATATTTTTGTATTTTTTTTAATTTAGTTAGTGCTTTGTAGTTTAAATAGTAGTTTACCATAGTTCTGACCAATGTTATCATGTTATGATATTATATGTCAATAAAAGTTATAAAAAATATACAGACTTAAATATACATGAATTAATTGAGGATATCCTACAGTAAAATTTTAAATGTTTGGAACTACTTTGAATCTAATAAGGAATTAATAAAAAGGACCATATTGAAACAGAATATGTAAAAATAGAAAATTTATACATGTCCTAACTTTTGTATATTTTTGTTTGTTATGTACAACTATAGTTTAGCTATCATAAAAATAGAAATTCTATACTGTATCCATTATCCTACAACTAAATCCAAAGATATGGATATATATGACTGTAAGTGACTAAATCAAAAAAAGTCAATCATATAAATATCTAAGCACAAGTGCCAAAGGACCAAAAAATTGTAAAGAAACCTCGCAAGAAAAGCAAACTAAGTATCATAAGAAAAACAGATCAAACATATCCCAAAACCATGATCTAACGTGAAAAGAAATAGTGTCTAACACCCCCTTCCCCCCTCCAATCGAGAGTCAATATCACAATCCAGGACCAGACCACCAAGGGACACTTCATTCAAAACTGAAGTCTTTACAATACATGCTGAAGAAATTGATAGCCAATACTCATAACATCAAAAAATATAATAACATATAATCTACTTTCAGATTAACAATGGGTTGTGGCTCCAGTACCTACACTGATCCAGAGTCAGTGGAAAAAAGACCACATTCAGCACAACATCAGCCTAAGACCAATAGTGTGCAGCATGACAATCCCAAAGGACAGAACAATAACAAACAAAATGAAAACAAGCCAAAAGATGATAATGAAGAGACCTCAAACTGTATTATTGATGAGTCAAAAAACAAAAATAGCAGCAGGGATATCAATAATCAGATTCAGGATGAAAAAGATGATGATATAGGCCTTAATGAGCCAGATAACAAGGAGAACCAAGATAAAATAATTCATGAAGAACTCGGAATTGAGGTTGTACAAGATGGAAGTAGGCTGGTAACAGGGAATTCCAATGAAATGGCAAAGTCAGTTTGTGAGAAAGAAGAAGAATCTGTAGCTCTATTGAATAGGGAAGAACAAGAACAGGAGTCTAAAGATCTCGAAAAAGAATCAGATGAAACTAATGATGGATTCAGAGAAACAATCAATACACTTAATGAATCAATCGATGAAGTTGATGCTGGAAAAATCAGTCAATTTGCTAGAGAATTGAAAATGAAAATAATCAATGGATGTTTTGAATCAGCATCAAAGTGTGATAGCAAAACTATTCGTTTGTTTGTCTCCAGTACTTTCACAGACACCAAAGCAGAGCGTAACTATCTAATGAGACATATCTACCCAGATATACGTGATTTCTGTGCTGCAAGGGGAGTGTCATTCAGTGTGGTTGATATGAGATGGGGTATCAGAGATGAAGCAACAAATGATCACATGACAAACGATATATGTATGACTGAAATAGAAAAATGTAGGAGAGAAACGATTCAGAGTGCACCTTGTTTTCTCTATTTAGGCTTCAACAAGTATGGATACAAACCCCTCCCTCGTACTATTGAAATAAGTGAATTTAAAGCCATATTAAACAACATTGATGATGAGAATGCACTATCTCTGATCAACAAGTGGTATAAATGTGATGAAAACAACATACCTCCTATCTATATTCTACAGCCCATATCAGTCCACATACCTGAATACTTGACATGTCGTGATGAAGAACGTAGGTCTGTCATACAACAGTGGTACACAGTAGAGGAAATTCTTAAAGAGAGCCTTTCTAAAGCAGCACTGATGTCCAGTGAGCTGTCTGATGAACAGAAAAATAAATGGATATTTTCTGTTACCCACCAAGAGGTGATAGCTGGGATGCTAAAACCTAATGGTGAAGAAAATCGTTCTTTGTGTGTCATGAGGAACATCCCATACCTCAAGCAAGGCCAATTTCAAAAAGATGACATCAAGTTTGCCTGTCGTTTCATTGATATGGACAGGACAGTTGAACCTCATGTTATTGATACAAATGTCAAAAAGTTGATAGGAAAACTCCAAGATGACACTCTGAAAAAGTGTGGTAACATACTCAAATATGATGGCATCAAATGGGTACAAGATGGAGGAGTGACTGAACAGACACACCAAGAGTACATCAAAGCAATGGGAAAACAAGTTGGGAAGAGCCTACAAGGAGCAATCAAGAGAGCTATAGAGACCACACCAGATATGGATTCTGTGACACAGGAATGTGCCTCTCACCTCAAGTTCGGTTACTCTAGAGCCAATAGCTTCTTTGGAAGAGTAGATCTGATTGATGAAGGATTGAAATACTTTAAAGTTAATGGAGAAGTCACAAGGGTGCCACTCGTAGTCCATGGGATAAGTGGAGCTGGAAAGACATCCCTTATGGCTGCCTTGGCATACAGGTATATATTTAGAGAAACAAGTCAGCTCCAGCACAGCTCATCTTTGAAGATAGCAATGACTTTTTAAATATAACTATAATTTATGAATTTCAGCAAGTGAAAGCTCTGAATTGTATTCTTGAGTAATCTTAATAACAGTTAATTGAAGTACTGTAATCGCTGTATTTTGTCCCCATCCACTGAAAGGTTCCAATCCACCTCAAGTAAGATTGAGGAATGGCCAAGAAAAAGATCAAATGACCGTGAGTTGTTTGTAGAATGAATCAGGGGAATTTTTTCATGTATTTCGCTTATGTGTTTCATCTAAAAACATCAATACACTTTAAAACATTTTATTGACTAACAGGAAAGTTAATCACTAAAACACGCCTTATTGGGCTGTTATCTCAAAATCTGCTTGAACTATACCATTGGGTTACTATGGGAATTTCCTCAAAGAGAAAATTCTAGGGATTAAGGAATGGATATCATTTACAGAATTTGAGAAATTATTGGCATACATGAAACCTATTTAAAACATCATTTATATTATTCAAAAGCATTTGTAATCAATGATTCCCAGCCCTCTGAATCCTTGAAAATATGGTACAATCTTATAGTAAATAAAATGTTTTAAAGTGAATTGATGTTTTCTAGATGGAAAACACAAGCGGAATACATGAAAAAATCACCTGATTCATTCTACAAACAATACCCGGTCCTTTCTAGAGAAATTAAGAGGGCAATAACAGAGTACTTATGTTAAATACGATAAAAGTGACATATTTTGTAATTTGATGCATCTTCCCAATAAGATATCTATCATAAGGAACTTTCCACACCATACTAGACTACTTTTCTCTTAAATATAAAATAGTCCAAAATGATTGAAGGAAATGTCCAAATTTAAGAGTTTTGTTTTACATTTTTCCAAAATGCTTCTGCCCAGATCAAGGTGTGCCTTTTATTGCTAACTTTTCATGAAAACTACAATAGCCTTGTCATGCTTTACTGTTTTCCAGAGGTATCAAGCAAATAGATGACTCCAGTTCCTCAAATCCAGTTCTAGTTGTGAGGTTTTGTGGAACAACTCCCCTCTCATCAAGTGGACGTGTTCTACTCAAGAGCATATGTGATCAGATAAAAGAGGCATTTGACGATGGTCAGCCTTCTCCTCCAATAAGCTATGCTTATGCTGATTTGATTGTAGAATTCAAGCGTCAGATTGGGCGTGCTACTGCTGAAAGGCCAATTGTGATATTGATAGACTCTCTTGATCAGCTGAATGATGATGATTTTGCAAGGACTGAGCCTGTGTGGATTCCTAATCAACTTCCTCCTCATGTTTACCTGGCAGTATCAACACTTCCTAATATTGGCGGAAGTTACAAATATCTCAAGACCACAGACATTTCTGAGGTGGAAGTGGTACCCCTAAACTTGGATGATGCAAGGAATATCCTGTCTGCATGGCTGAAGATCAGCAAACGGACACTGACCCAGTCTCAATTAAACACTGTTCTAAGTGTAGCAACTGATAGTACAACAGAGCAACCAACAGCTCTCAGATTGAGACTCCTTTGTGACGCTGTGGTTGGAGTTGAGTCTTACTCTAATCTACCAGAACTTCCAAATACAGTAACTGGTCTCATAAATGCCTTCTTTGAAAGGCTTGAAGTCTATCATGGGAAGGAACTTATTCAAACCTGTTTTGGACTTTTGTCAACAGCCAGATTTGGTCTGAGTGAATCAGAGCTCATAGATCTCCTCTCATGTGATGATAATGTTATGGATGCCGTCCTTCAATACCACAAACCACCAGAGAAACGTCTACCATTTGTGGTCTTTGCTCGTCTGATGAATGATATCAAAGATTATGTCAGTATACGTGGTGGTTTGGGAAAAAATGCAATGACATGGTACCATAGACAATTCATAGAAGCCTCTGAGAGAACATACAAGAACAAGAACCTTCTTAATCTGTCAAATCATTTATCAAAGTATTTTGACAACACATTCAGCAAGGAGTTTCCAGATCGTGGTATTGCTCCACAACCATTGTATTGGAAGTCAAACGATGGAGAATCTGAGGGACGAATAAATCTGAGTGCTGTTGCTGAACTTCCTGCAGCTCTCATGGCGGGACAACGTAGAAAACGATGTGTAGAAGTGCTAGCAGATCCAGTCTTTCTATCAGCCAAGTGTTATGCAGGTTTTGGCCGTGATCTTGTAGGAGACCTGTTTGACCTGAAAGACACTCTTTCTAACTTCGTCATGATGATTCCTAATGATGAAGATAGGGCTATGGATTCTAAAGATGACACAATAAATGACCTAGCAGAATTCATTCGAAGTCAGATGAACATTCTTGAAAAAAACACTGAGCTTTTTGTCCAACAAGGAATGGATCAAATAAAATCAACCATTGCCAGAAGTCTAATTGAAGAATACCAAACAAAAGATGGTGGTCTCCTACCCTGGGTACCTAATGGCATTAAGAGGCCTTTGGTGGAACACATAAACAAGTATCAAGATTCACATCCCTGTGCCATGACACTTGATGGCCATACTGCTCCTGTAACTGCTGTTAGTCTTCAGATGATAAAAGGGCAAGCCATTATATCAGCATCAGAGGATGGTTCTGTTAGACTTTGGGACAGAAAAACTGGAAGACAGATTGGAAAAATGACAACAAAAAGTTCCATCAGAACAATGTCTATAACCGAATTACCAAGTTCCAAGGTTTACTTTAACACATCCCTGCCATGTGGCACTGCAGTGTTTGTAGGATGTGAAGATGGCAGTGTATATGTATGGCGAGTGGCATTCAGCTATTTCAAAGGGAAAGAACCAATGATTGTTCCAATCTCAATATTCCAAGCTTTTAATGATACACCGGTCCAAACCATTGCAGTAGAATCTTCAGTGAATGACAAGGATTGTAGCCGGATAGTTACAGGATCATGTTACACTTTAAATGAAGAGGATGGGGGTCAAGGAGAAGTCAAGCTATGGGACATATCAGAACTCTTAACTGTCCAATCAGGTGATGAATTAAGAGAGCCAATTCTCCTGAGTATGAAGACACGACATGAAATAGCAATAGCACAATATGGTAACAAAGAATGGAATGTTGGCATAAAAGCTCTGGCATATTCCCCTGATAATGCATACATTGCCGTAGGGTTTGGACTTCCAACTTACATGAGCGGGAAAGGAGAGATTCTTGGAGCTGTGGTGAGAAATGAAACTTTGGAGACAGCCTGTGTGATTGATGGAGGGAATTTCCAGTTGCACTATTTGGAGTTTAACAAGAATTACTCCAATGGTGAGACCTACAGACTGCTGATATCCACACCGTATACATTTGAAGTATGCCTCATTACCCCTAGTAAAGGTAAGATTTATATGAAACATAATTAATTCAGTAATTTTATTTTATTTCTTTATTTCTCCTGTAAGTAAACGTGACAACCTAACATATTTACTGCACCGAATTTTCCCATAAAAACGTCCATAAAAACTCTACCATAAATTTTAAAATTGACCATGTTTTTCCTGTAACCTGCCTTTTGTGCATATTTAATTGACATTGAAAATTGTTAAATAGAGTTTTCATCATGTAACACTGTCATCACATTTCATGATGATATTAATTTACAGTGTACTATGAATATTCTTTGGACAAATATGTTTTATCCGTGGCTTGATAAATAGACAGTAATAATGATTTATGCTTTCAGGCAATAATAACAACCGATCGGCAATGCTATTTGAAAAGCTTGACAGTAATCATTCTTCAGGTGCATTCACAACAACAGAGAATATATATGGATCAGCAGTGGCATCAATGCTCTTGTTATGGAAGGATTCTCAAAAGTTTGAGTTCAAGGCTCATGGTGGACCACTGAAGACTGTGGACTTTGGTAATGCAGGTATTACAAAGTTGTGTGTAACTGGTGCAGCTGATTCACTTGTCAAGGTATGGGATGTTGACAAATGCTTTGAATATGAGCCCCCAGATCAATTACACAACTTCTCGTGTACAGCTCTTGGGATAGACCCCCAACAGGGTGTAATTGTAACAGGTGGCGATAGAGGAAGTTCAATCTTTGCTGAACTCCGTTCTTGGAATAGCCGAACAGGAGAAATGATTACATACTCCAACGGTTTCAGTGATAAGCTCACTAATATTCAATATTGCCCTTGCTCCAGATTGTGTTGTGTCAGGAAAGGAGAGAATAATCAAATACTGGTGTATGGAATGTCAACATTTGTTAATGCAAGCCATGGCTTCGATGGAAGATCTGCGAAAATCAATACAATAACAGTGTCTGAAAATAAAGAAACCCACAAGCGCTATGTCGCTGGCCGTGGAGAACTAAGCTTTACCCCTGACTGTGCATGGCTTGTATCAAATTCACCAAGTAGTCGTGATGTTAAAATCTATTCAGTATCTGAGATTGGCAGAAAAAATGGTGACAAAACAGATATAGCGCTTGGATCACATAATGGAGATACAATGGGTGGTCACTTCTCTGATTCTGGTCGTTACCTCATAACATGGTGTGCTGATTACACAAATGAATCTAAGAGAAGCTATGATGATGCTCCACAACCAAGAAATAGTGAACTTAAACTGTGGGAACGTAAAGCTGGTCCAGAATTTAATGAAGTGAAGTGTGTTGAAGCTGACAAAACAAGACCTTCTGTGGGAACAATAAACCCTCATAGGGGTCATCATGGCTTCTCATGTGCCAGAATATCTCCTGATGGTGCAAAGCTTGCAGTGGGCACCAGGACAGGACAATTACAAGTTAGAAGTATCCCCTCTCTAGATATCATTGCTAACACCACTGCACATGAGAATGATATATCATCTGCCAAGTTTTCACCTGATGGGGAACTTCTTGTAACTGGTTCCATGGATAAATGGGTGTCACTATGGAACAGTAGCAATCTGGATCGTATCTGGAAGTACTATGTTGGTTGTGGTGTTACAAGTTTGGATGTTTATATAATTGACAAAGTTTTCCGCATTGCATGTGGGGATACAAGTGGCAGAATGAATGTACTGGAAGTTCACAATGTTGAGCTTGGTCCCGTTCATGCATATTCTGGGAGGTTTGTTCATGATGACAGCCCATGTGGGTTCAGGTGCAGGTGGTGTGGTGCATGGAATGAGGGAGAACCTGCTGATGACTCAGTGGTCAACTGTCAGTTTTGTTCAAGCCCCATACATCACATAGGACAATTTCTTAGTGAAGTTAAAACAGAAACTTAACAATGGAGATGCAAATACCAACAAACATATTGTTCTTGAATCTGAATTATGTGACAATACTTCCATGTACTTTTAAATCACATTCAATACCTTCATTCAGAATGACCAAAATCATGTTTTGAAGAGATCTCAAAAACGTAACTTTAAATAGTATATCACAATCAATATATAATGAAGAAAATGTAAATATTATTAGTAGTTACCTTAAACATAACATATTTTTATATTTTTAGTTTAGCTAGAAGTGTTTTGTAGTTTAGATATGTAATTTACCATGTAGTTATGACTAATGTAATCTAGTATACATGTATGTCAATAAAAGTATAATCCTAAGTTTAAATAAATAAATAATGTTGAAAAAATGTTAATACAGGTGTGTAATCATCAAAGTTAGCAATATACAATATGTGATTTCTCTTATCCATGATAAAAACAACAAAGCATTAAAATGCAAAAGGTCACCACCTGCCATTAGTTACAGACACCTACTGCCGAACACCATCCACAAGTTGGGGACCATAACAATATGTCAACACTTGTAGTGGTGACATAAAAACCTAAAACCTTTACATTTTTTAATCAGATGCAAGTAACTTGATCAAGGAAATGCAATAGACAATCAACAAATATTTCTATATCTTGAAAAGGACCTTATACACCCGCCATTGGGATCTCCCCATGGGAAAAAAATAATTCATCTGATTTTTCAAAATGAGTATTCTGCTTCAATTATTACATTTATATGCACACTAGTATCTTGTTGACCTATATTCAGCACTGTATTGATGTATAGACCACTTATGAGGGTCATAATTCAATCATGAAGTGTAGAGGCATAGATTCCAAACCAGGAAATATTTTTGTGCCTGTCAAAATCCATTTACATCATACGCATCCCTGCATCTTATCCAAATATGTTACTACATAATGAAATATAATAGTATAATCTTTGGTTTTACAAACTTGTATGATATTTGATAAGTGTAAAAGTTGTTTTTGGAGCATTTTTCTATAGCCATTTTGTAGGGAAAAAATGATGAAAAAATGTACAATCTTTTACTTTTAAGTATGACCTGAATCGATTGCAAACTTCATATTTGCACATTTGATGAGATAAACCATTTGTGTCGGATTGTGAAATTATTAAGTTTGCAATCGATTCAGGTCATAGTGTATTTTTGGTATTTATGTGATAATCAATTGAAACCAATGGCCTCTATTGGGATCTGCTGATACCCTCATGTTAAGTCAATGGTGCACAGCCCCATGTAAGTCAATACAACCTTACTGAACGAAATGATCCCTATCTCAGCTTATGTGTGTCTGAGCACTTTAATATTTTTCAAAGTATTATATGACATTTTATTCTTCATGTTACACCTACGAATGATTCATTTTGACCATAGGGATATTTGCCAATAATTGCACCTTGTCCTTTAGAAAGTAAAAAGTAAGCAATTTTGGCAATCAAATGTGCTCTGCCCGATTCCTCCAATATAATTGTATCATTCTCAAAATACATAAATCACCCAAATCCTCAATTAGAATTGGCATTGCAATTATTGGTAATCATTATAAAAAGAGAATAAAGTTTACACATTGATTAATAATGGTTTGAGTTCAGAAATTTGAAGTTGTTCTTCATCACAACTTATATTGATGGCAGGATAACCCATAAACAAGATCACTAGTAAGCCCTATAACAATTTCTGTCACAATTTCCTTCTCTTGGGAGCTTAACATTTCCAGTACTTTTTTCAGCCAGCGAAAAATTAGAAAATTAAAAAAACAGAATTATATTTCATTATCAACCTGTTGGGTCATTTGAGAAATGCTCCTTTTATTGCTCAACTTTACTCACCAAAGCTTCTGGAGCATCCAATGTTTCTATGGTAGCATTAGCAACTGTTGCCAGAACAAACATTCCATGTAGTTCCTTGGACTGACTTGCCATGTCTGATGGATACACGGTCTCTCCAGATGCCTACAAGATGAGCACCCAAATAAATAAAGCAAGGGGAAAATCCACGTTTTGATTTGAACAGGATTCAAGCACATTTGCTATAGAAAACTGCCCCCCCCCTCCCCTATTGGCCAAGGGAGACTGACTTACTAGGTTCATGTGTGGGTGGGGGTCTCAAACAAACATTTAGGTAAACTGAACCATCCCTACAGAGGTGTGAACCAAGGAAGACAATTGGCTCAGCAAAATTTTAGAGAAATTTTTATATTTTTTATTTTATCTCAACAAATCAAATGCCAGACTTCAGTCCTGTTTTTATAAATTGTTTGGATTTCCTTACATGTATGTCTCAACAGACCACACACATAAATGAGACTATACTGACCTGGAGTTTGGACTTAAGTTTGGGTATGGGTTCAGAGAGGGGCCATTGTTTTTTGTGTGTATCATAACTCTGTTTGCCACTAGAAAGGGGGCGCTGAATGCAATCTGCCCCTGATTTGAATCTTGCTGAGACTGTTTCCTGACAAATGTTTAGCACAAACTGAAAATATAATACAGAATGAAAAATATTTAAAATATGAATCAAAAATAGACATGCTCGGCGAGTTGTACTAGATGCAACCAACACAGTCAATAAGAATAAGACTCACTGTTGTAACATATACTTTTAAATTACTTACAATCATTGTCTAAATATAATTGAGAGACATACTTTTTCTAAAAATTATGTTTCCATCAGACAAGTCTATTATGTAACCAATAATTATAATTAATCTTAAAATTATATAACTTAAATAACCTTAGGCTAGGTCAGAAGTGAAATCTCTCTGCTATATAAAATGTAAACTTTAATGTTTATTTTCTTGAAATGTTTAACTGCTCTGGCAGGCAAACATTAACTCTGCAAAATATAACATATTAATTACATGATAATATGGTACCTTGTAAAGAAGAGAGAGGGCTAGATTCTTTCTGTACTGTGGGCTGGATAGCACTGGGTCTTCATTAGGTACTACTTCACTGGCTAGCACATGTAAGGCACCTGTAGTGGAACGTTAGTTAATAGTGAGGTTAAGATACACATTTTTTAAAGAACTTTCAAGTGATCATGTAGAATTATGGTCCTCTGTGGATAAGTTCTCCAACTTGTACTATTTACTTGGTTGATTGAGTCTCAAGGTATATGGAAATAATTGTAATTTGGTCCCTGAAAAAGTTGATTGAGAGCAGGACAGAAGTCCCTGGGATCAAAACATTATGTGGTTCTCTTGAAAACATGTAGCCTAACCTACCTAATATATCAATATATATTATGATTAAAAAGGAGATGGACACATAGAGTTCACGTACGGTGAAACCTGTATATCCGAACACCTGCTAATCTGAACAACTTCCAATCCAAACACTTTTTTCAAGTCCCATTTTTCCTCCCATTGACCCATGTTAAAAAACATGAATCTGAACACCTTCTTCTTTGAGTTACAGTGAACACTCATATTTGAAACATTAACCTTTTCACAAAATTTCACATATTTCTTACAAAATTGCTTAAATTATTTTCAAATTAACACTGATTTGTTATGATAGCAAGACTTTTGAAAAACATCAAATGGTCTCAATCATAATGACTAATCCCAAATTGTATTAATTTCTCCTTACATTCAAAGTGGCATATTAAAACCCACAATGATAACTATTATTATTCTATTGAGGTAACATCTGACTAAATTTAAATTTTAATAGATTTTGTATCATGCAGTTAATGATGGAAATTTGTTAGATTTAAGCTTAAAACCCAAAGATAAACCTTTAACAATGAGGGAACTGAACAATTTCCATGGACATACCTTGCAAAACTTTGACATCTCCAAGACATTTACCAGTCAGGTATTCCTCCGTCTTAGATGCATGTACCTGATCAAAGCAAAAGCAAAGAACAGCATAAAGAGAATATGTCATAATTACATGATATCAGTGTAACCTTACAATATAACAAGGCATTAACATGCAAAATGCCACAACCTGCCATTTGTTACAGATGCCAACTGCTGAATGCCAAACGTCATCCACAAAAAAGTTGGAGACTATAACAAGTCATCACTTGTGTTGGTGACATAAATACAAAACATGAAATAATCACAGCAATCCAAGAGAGGTTCTTTTAGATGACCTAAGTTAATGACCTTGGCCTTTGACCTCTAAAATGTTATTTTTTTAGGTGTTTTAAGGTCTTAATGGATTAAACATGAGAACCTAAATGATAATACCAAAAATGAAGTTACAATGAATAAACTGATCCAGGCCAGGATGTACTGAGCTACATAGCCACTTTGTTTTTACTGAACATTTTTTGTTCGCCATTAAAAACAGTTCTGTATTACATTGTCACTTTAAGCAGAAACTTATATACTTACAAAGCCAGGTGATATTCCCCCATAGACTATGGAGGGTTTATTCACAACCAAATAATTTAGATGGTTTGGATGTATTTCCATCCTGAATCCAGCATTCACATACGCATGAGCATTCTACAAGAACATGGAATAGACAATGAAATAGAATACGATCCTAGTCTGTGCACTGTCTAAGTAACCATTTGGTACTCATTTTTAACAAGATTTTAACATTTTTGAATAACCACTAAGGACATTTACTTCTATTTGATGACATATTTGAATTCTGTGCACTTTACATAATTTTACATAGTTATTTTATTTCATTCAATTTTTAACTTTTCTGAAAAAGGTTGGGCTAAATCCCCATTGACACAATGTTAAAAGTTGATTCATTCTTTTAAGGGTTACACTTTTAGGTTTAATCACAATTTAAATGTCAACAAGATCATCAAATTGTATGCCATTTGAGTTTTACATTATTCCATTTTGAATTATTCAAAATATTGTTAGTTTTTCCATTTTGTAAATACTAATATGTAGCCCCAACAACACATGCTGCCATCTACAAGTATTTACCCATCTATATAGCAAATGTCAATTGGGGTATGTAAGTAGTATGAAAACACTACAATGATACATCTCTGGGTTTCAATACATACCTCTGCCCTTGGCAAATGGTCAATTGGGGTATGTAAGTAGTATGAAAACACTACAATGATACATCTCTGGGTTTCAATACATACCTCTGCCCTTGGCAAATGGTCAATTGGGGTATGTAAGTAGTATGAAAACACTACAATGATACATCTCTGGGTTTCAATACATACCTCTGCCCTTGGCAAATGGTCAATTGGGGTATGTAAGTAGTATGAAAACACTACAATGATACATCTCTGGGTTTCAATAAATACCTCTGCCCTTGGCAAATGGTCAATTGGGGTATGTAAGTAGTATGAAAACACTACAATGATACATCTCTGGGTTTCAATACATACCTCTGCCCTTGGCAAATGGTCAATTGGGGTATGTAAGTAGTATGAAAACACTACAATGATACATCTCTGGGTTTCAATACATACCTCTGCCCTTGGCAAATGGTCAATTGGGGTATGTAAGTAGTATGAAAACACTACAATGATACATCTCTGGGTTTCAATACATACCTCTGCCCTTGGCAAATGGTCAATTGGGGTATGTAAGTAGTATGAAAACACTACAATGATACATCTCTGGGTTTCAATACATACCTCTGCCCTTGGCAAATGGTCAATTGGGGTATGTAAGTAGTATGAAAACACTACAATGATACATCTCTGGGTTTCAATACATACCTCTGCCCTTGGCAAATGGTCAATTGGGGTATGTAAGTAGTATGAAAACACTACAATGATACATCTCTGGGTTTCAATACATACCTCTGCCCTTGGCAAATGGTCAATTGGGGTATGTAAGTAGTATGAAAACACTACAATGATACATCTCTGGGTTTCAATACATACCTCTGCCCTTGGCAAATGGTCAATTGGGGTATGTAAGTAGTATGAAAACACTACAATGATACATCTCTGGGTTTCAATACATACCTCTGCCCTTGGCAAATGGTCAATTGGGGTATGTAAGTAGTATGAAAACACTACAATGATACATCTCTGGGTTTCAATACATACCTCTGCCCTTGGCAAATGGTCAATTGGGGTATGTAAGTAGTATGAAAACACTACAATGATACATCTCTGGGTTTCAATACATACCTCTGCCCTTGGCAAATGGTCAATTGGGGTATGTAAGTAGTATGAAAACACTACAATGATACATCTCTGGGCTTCAATACATACCTCTGCCCTTGGCAAATGGTCAATTGGGGTATGTAAGTAGTATGAAAACACTACAATGATACATCTCTGGGCTTCAATACATACCTCTGCCCTTGGCAAATGGTCAATTGGGGTATGTAAGTAGTATGAAAACACTACAATGATACATCTCTGGGTTTCAATACATACCTCTGCCCTTGGCAAATGGTCAATTGGGGTATGTAAGTAGTATGAAAACACTACAATGATACATCTCTGGGTTTCAATACATACCTCTGCCCTTGGCAAATGGTCAATTGGGGTATGTAAGTAGTATGAAAACACTACAATGATACATCTCTGGGTTTCAATACATACCTCTGCCCTTGGCAAATGGTCAATTGGGGTATGTAAGTAGTATGAAAACACTACAATGATACATCTCTGGGTTTCAATACATACCTCTGCCCTTGGCAAATGGTCAATTGGGGTATGTAAGTAGTATGAAAACACTACAATGATACATCTCTGGGTTTCAATACATACCTCTGCCCTTGGCAAATGGTCAATTGGGGTATGTAAGTAGTATGAAAACACTACAATGATACATCTCTGGGTTTCAATACATACCTCTGCCCTTGGCAAATGGTCAATTGGGGTATGTAAGTAGTATGAAAACACTACAATGATACATCTCTGGGTTTCAATACATACCTCTGCCCTTGGCAAATGGTCAATTGGGGTATGTAAGTAGTATGAAAACACTACAATGATACATCTCTGGGTTTCAATACATACCTCTGCCCTTGGCAAATGGTCAATTGGGGTATGTAAGTAGTATGAAAACACTACAATGATACATCTCTGGGCTTCAATACATACCTCTGCCCTTGGCAAATGGTCAATTGGGGTATGTAAGTAGTATGAAAACACTACAATGATACATCTCTGGGCTTCAATACATACCTCTGCCCTTGGCAAATGGTCAATTGGGGTATGTAAGTAGTATGAAAACACTACAATGATACATCTCTGGGCTTCAATACATACCTCTGCCCTTGGCAAATGGTCAATTGGGGTATGTAAGTAGTATGAAAACACTACAATGATACATCTCTGGGTTTCAATACATACCTCTGCCCTTGGCAAATGGTCAATTGGGGTATGTAAGTAGTATGAAAACACTACAATGATACATCTCTGGGCTTCAATACATACCTCTGCCCTTGGCAAATGGTCAATTGGGGTATGTAAGTAGTATGAAAACACTACAATGATACTTCTCTGGGCTTCAATACATACCTCTGCCCTTGGCAAATGGTCAATTGGGGTATGTAAGTAGTATGAAAACACTACAATGATACATCTCTGGGCTTCAATACATACCTCTGCCCTTGGCAAATGGTCAATTGGGGTATGTAAATAGTATGAAAACACTACAATGATACATCTCTGGGCTTCAATACATACCTCTGCCCTTGGCAAATGGTCAATTGGGGTATGTAAGTAGTATGAAAACACTACAATGATACATCTCTGGGCTTCAATACATACCTCTGCCCTTGGCAAATGGTCAATTGGGGTATGTAAGTAGTATGAAAACACTACAATGATACTTCTCTGGGCTTCAATACATACCTCTGCCCTTGGCAAATGGTCAATTGGGGTATGTAAGTAGTATGGAAACACTACAATGATACATCTCTGGGCTTCAATACATACCTCTGCCCTTGGCAAATGGGGTATGTAAGTAGTATGAAAACATGACAATGATACATCTCTGGGCTTCAATACATACCTCTGCCCTTGGCAAATGGTCAATTGGGGTATGTAAGTAGTATGAAAACACTACAATGATACATCTCTGGGCTTCAATACATACCTCTGCCCTTGGCAAATGGTCAATTGGGGTATGTAAGTAGTATGAAAACACTACAATGATACTTCTCTGGGCTTCAATACATACCTCTGCCCTTGGCAAATGGTCAATTGGGGTATGTAAGTAGTATGAAAACACTACAATGATACATCTCTGGGCTTCAATACATACCTCTGCCCTTGGCATGATCTTGTATGTCAGAACATGTTGATTGTTGTCTTCAGACATCTTGGGTAGCTTCACTGAGGCGATCATCTTCGATTGCATGTTCAACTTGAGAAAATCTGATAGATTTGTCTCTGCTGCAACCTTTGTTTCAACATCAACTGCAACATCATACCAATTAGACATAAAATCAAAATTGGAATACGAAATAGAGTGTATCAATTTAAATAAATAGTGATTGTGACTCATGACAGAATCCATTGCCATGACTATATTAGTATAGTAGGAACAAGGGGTTCCCATGCACCCATAAGGTGTGAATAAGTTACATACATTTTTGTAATCCCTAGGGTGTCTATTTAATGAATTCATTTGTTAACATTGCCAACTAATGTCCCATAGTACTTTTATGGCAGCATTCAGTTACCATGGTTACGCGTCTTTAGATATCTCACCTTGGTATTTTAAATCATTTGTAGCTCTGTCATTATTTGGTCTATAGAAATGATATTGGTACCAAATTGAACCTCGTTAAATTTCCAATAAATTTCTGATATTCAATTATGCAAATTATCTAATTTGCATAAATTATGACGTCATCAATCTATTTTGGGTTCAGAATTTCCAACTATAGCAAAGAATCTATTAGAACTGAGGCCGTATGGCAAAATTTCTGAAAGGTTTTGTCCTTTATTCTATTAGTAGAAGGTATAAGCAACATAAAAGTGAAAACAGATTCAAAATTGAATCAGTATTACGAAAGTTATGTAAATTTCGAGGCAGCTATCGTGAATGTCATTATTTGACAATAATATACATACATCTTACCTTGGAGTCTTGAATCAATGTAGCTTCGCCATTATTTGGTCTATAGAGATGATATTGGTATCTGATTAAACCTTATTAAATTTACTATATGTTTACAATATTCAGTTATGCAAATTAGCTAATTTGCATTAATTGTGACGTCATCAATCCATTTTTGGTTCAGAGTATCGTAGTATAGCAACATATCTATTAGAACTGAGGCCGTATGATAGAATGTGTGCATAGTTTTGTCCCTTATTTGACGAGTGGAAGATATAAGCAACATTAAAGAGAAGACAAATCTTCAAAATTGGATCAGAATTAACAAAATTATCCAGCTTTGGAGGCAGCTACTGTGAACGTCATTGTTGGACAATTAAAAAAAGAATATTAAATTAACAAAAAAAGTAACAACCATAGTTGTTTCAATCTTATTGAGTAAAAATGTGCATGTATTGAACTGAACTAATAAGTATGTGGAAAGGTTACATGTATTTTGACTATCATTCACAGGGGTCAAAACGGTTATCTCGACCCTGTATATTAAAGATCCAATTTTATAATTTACCATGCACTTTCAATGATTCATATGAATAGTATACATATAGTCTGATTTTCATCATATTCTTCATATTCTTAATTCTTGAAGTATAAAGCATGATTAGAAGTGAAGATGATTCATCATATGGTTTATGTAATATTTCTAACATTTCAGATGCTATGGTAACATCACTTGATAATGAGGTTTTTACATTTCACGTTTTTAATGAGTTAAAAGAAGGTTTTCTCCCTTTGCTTTAGAGATAAATAGTCACATGAATTCGTTTAAAAAAAATTATAACTTAATTTAACCCCCTCCTGACAGCCCCCATATTTGAAGATTTGGGTGAAACCTGGCAAAATACATTAATTATTAGGTTCCAGAAGCCCCCAGAAGCTATATGATGGCCCCCAGTGGCCCCAAGAATCTATACAGGGGCCCCAAGTGGCCCCCAGAAGGTATCCGATGGCCTCCAGAAGCTATACAAGGGCCCACAGAAACTATACTGTGGTCTCCAGAAGCTATATGGTGGCCCCCAGTGGCCCTCAGAAGCTATATGATGGCCCCCAGAAGCTAATTAGTGGCCCCCAGGAGCTATATGGTGGCACCCAGAAGCTATTCAGGGAACCCCAGTGGCCCCAAGAAGCTATACGATGGCCCCCAGAAGCTATACAGCAGCCCAAAGAAGCTACACGATGGCCCCCAGAATCTATATGATGGCCCCAAATGGCTCCCAGAAGCTATACAGGGCCCCCAGTAGCCCCTAGAAGCTATACGGTGGCCCCCAAAGCTATATGGTGGCCCATTGGGGGACACTATAGCTTCTGGAGGCCATCGTATAGCTTATGGGGGCTACCGTATAGTTTCTGCGGGCCCTTGCATAGCTTCTGGGGGCCATCTTATAGCTTCTGGGAGCCACTGGGGGCCCCTGTATAGCTTCTGGGGGCTACAGTACAGTTTCTGCAGGCCCTTGCATAGCTTCTGGGGCCCATCGTATAACTTTTGGGAGCCACTGTGGGCCCCTGTATAGCTTCTGGGGGCCACTATATAGCTTTCGGGGCCACTGAGGGACACCGTAGAGCTTCTAGGGGCTACTGGGGGGCCCTTTATAGCTTCTGGGAGCCATTGGGGGCCACCATATAGATTCTGGGGGCCATTGTGTAGCTTCTGGGAACCACCATGTAGCTCCTGAGGGTCACTACTTAGCTTCTAGGGGCCATCATATAGCCTATGAGGGCCACTGGGGGCCACAGTATAGCTTCTAGGGGCTACTGGGGGCCCTTCACATCTTCTGGGAGCCATTGGGGGCCATCGTGTAGCTTTTTGGGGCTCCTGTATAGCTTCTGGGGGCCATCGTTTAGCTTCTTGGGGCCACTGGGGTCCCCTGTATAGCTTCTGGGAGCCACCATATAGCTCCTGGGGGCCACTAATTAGCTTCTGGAGGCCATCATATAGCTTCCAAGGGCCATTGGGGGCCACCATATAGCTTCTGGAGACCATAGTATAGTTTCAAGGGGCCTTGTATAGCTTCTGGGGGCCATAGTATAGCTTCTGGGGGCCCCCGTGTAGCTTCTGGGGGCCACCGTATAGCTTTTTGGGGCCACTGGGGGCCCCTGTATAGCTTCTGGGCACCACCGTATAGCTCCTGGGGGCCACAGGGTTTCCTGTATAGCTTCTGGGAGCCACCGTATAGCTCCTGGGGGCCACTATTCAGCTTCTGGGGGTCAACATATAGCCTCTGGGGAGCACAGTATAGCTTCTGGGGGCCACTTGGGGCCCCTGTATAGATTCTTGGGGCCACTGGGGGCCATCATATAGCTTCTGGGAGCTTCTGGAACCTAATAATTAATGTATTTTGCCAGGTTTCACCAAAATCTTCAAATATGGGGGCTGTCATACGGCCTCAGTTCTAATAGATATGTTGCTATACTACGATATTCTGAACAAAAAATGGATTGATGACGTCACAATTAATGCAAATTAGCTAATTTGCATAACTGAATATTGTAAACATATAGTAAATTTAATAAGGTTTAATCAGATACCAATATCATCTCTATAGACCAAATAATGGCGAAGCTACATTGATTCAAGACTCCAAGGTAAGACGTATGTATATTATTGTCAAATAATGACATTCACGATAGCTGCCTCGAAATTTACATAACTTTCGTAATACTGATTCAATTTTGAATCTGTTTTCACTTTTATGTTGCTTATACCTTCTACTAATAGAATAAAGGACAAAACCTTTCAGAAATTTTGCCATACGGCCTCAGTTCTAATAGATTCTTTGCTATAGTTGGAAATTCTGAACCCAAAATAGATTGATGACGTCATAATTTATGCAAATTAGATAATTTGCATAATTGAATATCAGAAATTTATTGGAAATTTAACGAGGTTCAATTTGGTACCAATATCATTTCTATAGACCAAATAATGACAGAGCTACAAATGATTTAAAATACCAAGGTGAGATATCTAAAGACGCGTAACCATGGTAACTGAATGCCGCCATAAAAGTACTATGGGACATTAGTTGGCAATGTTAACAAATGAATTCATTAAATAGACACCCTAGGGATTACAAAAATGTATGTAACTTATTCACACCTTATGGGTGCATGGGAACCCCTTGTTCCTACTATACTATATCTTTTTTTAAAAATCCCCAAATCATTATAATGTGATTAAGACAATGCAGGACCATTCAAAATGATTAATAATAACCCTACTCATGCTCAGTTGCCTTACAGCTTTCTAACAATTTGAGCTGATTATTAGTATAACTACCCTTTGCATTCGTTTGACTTCACTTCTTAAAAGAGAGCTTCGTCTTCACTCTTTCAAACTAAAATAAACCTGTGAACTCACCGCGCCAATCAGTGTTCGTCGGCCATATTTGACCGACGTTCTATATATGGTCATTCCTTCTGACGTCATCGTTGAGCCCGCAATTGACCAATGACATGCGCATAGAACATATTTGGCGTATGTTTCTTCAAGCTCGCTGATTGGTAGAAGAAAGGTCAGCGCGTAGGTCAAAAGTGATTTATTACCCAAACTGTCACCGTTACCCGTCGTTGGGGCGGGGCTACTAAACTGTAATATGGTCTCTACTAGGCAGAGTGTAGTTTAACTAGACTATGCATGCAGGGTATAGTATAACTTGGTTTAAGTTGTTATATCATTTGTTGTTCCAAGTGCATGTAAACAACAATCTGATGTCTTACTTTTACATTGAAATTGACACTACCCACCTATACTAAGTGTAGCACCAACAGTCTCTAGAATCACATAGATGTCTGATATAAAACTTGGATGTTGTTTCTTTAGCATTAAATTTCCCGACCATGATGCCATCTAATGTCAAAAAGAAACATCATTAATATACACCTTACATATACATACATACTGTATGTACATTTTTATTACAATATATTGTACATGTATATTCTAGTTAATAATGATCATCATTTATCATGATAGTCATTTCACAAAGTAAAGTTTTTCGTATTAAACATGTTGGAACTTTTAGAATAAGGTGCAGAATATTTATATTTTTGATATATGCGCTTTTTTGTGTGTAGAAAATTAGTTCAAGACTTTGTTACAGAGAATGTACCACTACCAGTCTGAGATAACTTTACCATAGGTCAAAAAAGTCTTTGTGGGAAAATAACATATAGGAAAACTTGATTTCCATCTGTGTACCACACAATGTGTGGGGCCGGGGATGTATTTTCATTGAGAACAATTCAATTTTTCTGTTCCTGTGCCTGCGATTCAATGATTTTCAAATGTACAAAAAAGAATGGCTTTATTCATGGATGTAAACATGTACTGTAATATAATCCTGCCAGAATTATCAAAACTAGATAATGGCAACTCCGCGGAGTAGCAAATCCCAACGAACAAAATATCAATTACCGAATTCCAATCAATTATACTCATTACTTTGGTTGAAAATGAAAAAATTAGATTTTAGAATTGCGAATTCCTGCAAAGCAGCCATTTTGAATTTTCTGAGGTACAAATCTGAAAAATAATACCATAATTGTGATCTACTCCAAAATTCCTTCAATTTGAGTATAATATACTATAGCCATACTTTGAAGCGATCGAAAAATTATTGCGAAATCGTAAACTAGACGGCCATTTTGAATTTTATGAGGCTCGAATCAGAAAAAAGATACAATATTTGCAATCTACTCTTAATTGCCTTTCATTTGAGTATAATAAAGCTATACTTCAGAGAGATCTAAAAATTAGCGAAAATTTCTGTTTTCCTGTCCCCCCATACATGGCCCCTGGGGGTCAGGATGAAAAACACGGAATATATGTGAAAAAGATAAATGTTGTAAATACACTACCAAAATTTCAAACAATAATATTAATTACTTTGGTTTAGAATGAAAAATTTATGATTTTTGCGAAAAAGTCCCGTCAGTTTTAAAGCGGCGGCCATCTTGAAAAAAAATTTTTTTGCGTAAAACTATTTACCAATATACATCTTTCCACTAAATATGAAGAAAATCTGTCAACTAGTATTTGAGTTATCTTCCGAACAGACGGACGGACTGACTGACTGACTGACTGACTGACTGACTGACTGACTGACTGACGGACGGACAGACGGACGGACGGAGGGCTTCACTATATCCCTAACGAACTTCGTTCGTTGGGATAATAAAGGAACCACGGCACTGTGCTCACACAATGAATTGCAACCACATTGTTTGAAAAGGATTAACTTTATACACAAAAAATTCTTTTTGTTTCAATTACATGAATTAGTTAGGTAGAGTTAGTTACTCAGTTACTAAGTTACATTAAAACAATTTTCGATCACAAAACGTGTCATAGACTTTATTCATGAGAAACTTCCCTGAAAATTTAATCTAGAAAATTCCTTTTGAAGGTCAAATCTCAAATCTAAGGTCATATTTGAACTCCTGAGAACTTGTAGATGATTTTTTTTAAAATGCTCAAAATATTTTTCGAAATTTGACCTTTTTTAGTTTTTGAGCTCTACTCCTCAAAACCGGTGCAAAATTTTATAGATTCTCAATTGCGTTTATGTGTAGAACTTTTAGAGGATTGTATATTCTGACTTTCAACCAAAAATATGAGAAACTTAGTAGCCCAGTTTGTGACCTATTTTAATGACCTTGACCTCGACAATTTAACCTTCTCAAGCTTCTCAAGGTCTTTTGTGATTAAGCTGACCTAAATTTGAATCCAAAAAATCAATTTGAAAAATCAACTTTTTTGACCTTTTGAAGATCACTGAAAGTCAAGTAAAGGTCTAATCTCAAATGTAAGGTCAGATTTGAACTCCTGAGAACTTGTAAATTAAAAAAAAAATTGGTCAAACTGAAGCAAGTTGAAACAAGTTATTTTTACCATTTTTTGATGTAAAGAAAACTTGTCTCGAAAAATTAGATTTCATCTAGATTTAGACATCTGACCTTGACAGAGAAAATTCATTTCCCGCCAACAGCCCATGTCCCTAGTAGGTGCATATATTAGCTAGTTGAAATGTAGAAGGAAGTATGTAGAAAAAGTGTGAAAAAGTTTTTAAAACAATTTCAATCTATTTGAACTTTGTTTCAAAACGTGTTGCAAATTGATTTGGGGTCAACTACCACGGTACTTACATTTCTTACTGGAGTAGAAGCAACTTTCTGTACATGATCAGCCAGTGTTGTACAGTAGGTGTAGCCATCCCTCTTGCCCTGTTCTGTCAACACACTAATCAACCGAGACAATGTCACATTACTCGCAATGGTAAACTCTGGATCATACTGAAAGTATTTTTTAATATGTCATAGAATGTGTGTAGAAAACGCTTCATTGTATATTCAGCAAGAAGTAGAGAGGGGAAGGGAAGGGGAGAGGGGAGGAAAGGGGAGAGAAGGGGGAAAAGAGGAGGGGACATATAATAGCAATGGTTAAACGATTCACCAAAAAACATGTAGAAATGACATTACAGACAAGATTTTAGGACAGAAAATCTAAATGGTGAGAATGTGTTGGTACATATCATTGATGCATTAGATCTTTATGGTGAGAATGTGTTGGTACATATCCTTGATGCATTAGATCTTTATGGTGAGAATGTGTTGGTACATATCCTTGATGCATTAGATCTAAATGGTGAGAATGTGTAGGTACATATCATTGATGCATTATATCTAAATGGTGAGAATGTGTTGGTACATATCCTTGATGCATTAGATCTAAATGGTGAGAATGTGTTGGTACATATCCTTGATACATTAGATCTAAATGGTGAGAATGTGTTGGTACATATCCTTGATGCATTAGATCTATATGGTGAGAATGTGTTGGTACATATCCTTGATGCATTAGATCTAAATGGTGAGAATGTGTTGGTACATATCATTGATGCATTAGATCTAAATGGTGAGAATGTGTTGGTACATATCCTTGATGCATTAGATCTTTATGGTGAGAATGTGTTGGTACATATCCTTGATGCATTAGATCTAAATGGTGAGAATGTGTTGGTATATATCATTGATGCATTAGATCTTTATGGTGAGAATGTGTTGGTACATATCCTTGATGCATTAGATCTAAATAGTGAGAATGTGTTGGTACATATCCTTGATACATTAGATCTAAATGGTGAGAATGTGTTGGTACATATCCTTGATACATTAGATCTAAATAGTGAGAATGTGTTGGTACATATCCTTGATACATTAGATCTTTATGGTGAGAATGTGTTGGTGCATATCCTTGATACATTAGATCTAAATGGTGAGAATGTGTTGGTACATATCCTTGATGCATTAGATCTAAATAGTGAGAATGTGTTGGTACATATCCTTGATGCATTAGATCTTCAGGTGAGAATGTGTTGGTACATATCCTTGATACATTAGATCTAAATGGTGAGAATGTGTTGGTACATATCCTTGATGCATTAGATCTAAATGGTGAGAATGTGTTGGTACATATCCTTGATGCATTAGATCTTCAGGTGAGAATGTGTTGGTACATATCCTTGATACATTAGATCTAAATAGTGAGAATGTGTTGGTACATATCCTTGATACATTAGATCTAAATGGTGAGAATGTGTTGGTACATATCCTTGATACATTAGATCTAAATGGTGAGAATGTGTTGGTACATATCCTTGATACATTAGATCTAAATGGTGAGAATGTGTTGGTGCATATCCTTGATGCATTAGATCTATATGGTGAGAATGTGTTGGTACATATCCTTGATATATTAGATCTAAATAGTGAGAATGTGTTGGTACATATCCTTGATGCATTAGATCTTCAGGTGAGAATGTGTTGGTACATATCCTTGATACATTAGATCTAAATGGTGAGAATGTGTTGGTACATATCCTTGATACATTAGATCTAAATGGTGAGAATGTGTTGGTGCATATCCTTGATGCATTAGATCTTTATGGTGAGAATGTGTTGGTACATATCCTTGATGCATTAGATCTTTATGGTGAGAATGTGTTGGTACATATCCTTGATGCATTAGATCTAAATGGTGAGAATGTGTAGGTACATATTATTGATGCATTATATCTAAATGGTGAGAATGTGTTGGTACATATCCTTGATGCATTAGATCTAAATGGTGAGAATGTGTTGGTACATATCCTTGATACATTAGATCTAAATGGTGAGAATGTGTTGGTACATATCCTTGATGCATTAGATCTATATGGTGAGAATGTGTTGGTACATATCCTTGATGCATTAGATCTAAATGGTGAGAATGTGTTGGTACATATCATTGATGCATTAGATCTAAATGGTGAGAATGTGTTGGTACATATCCTTGATGCATTAGATCTTTATGGTGAGAATGTGTTGGTACATATCCTTGATGCATTAGATCTAAATGGTGAGAATGTTTTGGTATATATCATTGATGCATTAGATCTTTATGGTGAGAATGTGTTGGTACATATCCTTGATGCATTAGATCTAAATAGTGAGAATGTGTTGGTACATATCCTTGATACATTAGATCTAAATGGTGAGAATGTGTTGGTACATATCCTTGATACATTAGATCTAAATAGTGAGAATGTGTTGGTACATATCCTTGATACATTAGATCTTTATGGTGAGAATGTGTTGGTGCATATCCTTGATACATTAGATCTAAATGGTGAGAATGTGTTGGTACATATCCTTGATGCATTAGATCTAAATGGTGAGAATGTGTTGGTACATATCCTTGATGCATTAGATCTTCAGGTGAGAATGTGTTGGTACATATCCTTGATACATTAGATCTAAATAGTGAGAATGTGTTGGTACATATCCTTGATACATTAGATCTAAATGGTGAGAATGTGTTGGTACATATCCTTGATACATTAGATCTAAATGGTGAGAATGTGTTGGTACATATCCTTGATACATTAGATCTAAATGGTGAGAATGTGTTGGTGCATATCCTTGATGCATTAGATCTATATGGTGAGAATGTGTTGGTACATATCCTTGATACATTAGATCTAAATAGTGATAATGTGTTGGTACATATCCTTGATGCATTAGATCTTCAGGTGAGAATGTGTTGGTACATATCCTTGATACATTAGATCTAAATGGTGAGAATGTGTTGGTACATATCCTTGATACATTAGATCTAAATGGTGAGAATGTGTTGGTGCATATCCTTGATGCATTAGATCTATATGGTATGAATGTGTTGGTACATATCCTTGATACATTAGATCTAAATAGTGAGAATGTGTTGGTACATATCCTTGATACATTAGATCTTTATGGTGAGAATGTGTTGGTACATATCCTTGATGCATTAGATCTAAATGGTGAGAATGTGTTGGTACATATCCTTGATACATTAGATCTAAATGGTGAGAATGTGTTGGTACATATCCTTGATACATTAGATCTAAATAGTGAGAATGTGTTGGTACATATCATTGATGCATTAGATCTAAATGGTGAGAATGTGTTGGTACATATCCTTGATGCATTAGATCTAAATGGTGAGAATGTGTTGGTACATATCCTTGATGCATTAGATCTATATGGTGAGAATGTGTTGGTACATATCCTTGATGCATTAGATCTAAATGGTGAGAATGTGTTGGTACATATCCTTGATACATTAGATCTAAATGGTGAGAATGTGTTGGTACATATCATTGATGCATTAGATCTAAATGGTGAGAATGTGTTGGTACATATCCTTGATGCATTAGATCTAAATGGTGAGAATGTGTTGGTACATATCCTTGATACATTAGATCTAAATGGTGAGAATGTGTTGGTACATATCCTTGATGCATTAGATCTATATGGTGAGAATGTGTTGGTGCATATCCTTGATGCATTAGATCTAAATGGTGAGAATGTGTTGGTGCATATCCTTGATGCATAAGATCTAAATGGTGAGAATGTGTTGGTGCATATCCTTGATGCATTAGATCTAAATGGTGAGAATGTGTTGGTACATATCCTTGATGCATTAGATCTATATGGTGAGAATGTGTTGGTACATATCCTTGATGCATTAGATCTAAATGGTGAGAATGTGTTGGTACATATCCTTGATAAATTAGATCTAAATGGTAAGAATGTGTTGGTACATATCCTTGATGCATTAGATCTTCAGATGAGAATGTGTTGGTACATATCCTTGATGCATTAGATCTAAATGGTGAGAATGTGTTGGTACATATCATTGATGCATTAGATCTATATGGTGAGAATGTGTTGGTACATATCCTTGATGCATTAGATCTAAATGGTGAGAATGTGTTGGTACATATCCTTGATACATTAGATCTAAATGGTGAGAATGTGTTGGTACATATCCTTGATGCATTAGATCTTCAGGTGAGAATGTGTTGGTACATATCCTTGATGCATTAGATCTTTATGGTGAGAATGTGTTGGTACATATCCTTGATGCATTAGATCTAAATGGTGAGAATGTGTTGGTACATATCATTGATGCATTAGATCTAAATGGCGAGAATGTGTTGGTACATATCCTTGATGCATTAGATCTAAATGGTGAGAATGTGTTGGTACATATCCTTGATGCATTAAATCTAAATGGTGAGAATGTGTTGGTACATATCCTTGATACATTAGATCTAAATAGTGAGAATGTGTTGGTACATATCCTTGATACATTAGATCTTTATGGTGAGAATGTGTTGGTACATATCCTTGATGCATTAGATCTAAATGGTGAGAATGTGTTGGTACATATCCTTGATGCATTAGATCTAAATGGTGAGAATGTGTTGGTACATATCCTTGATACATTAGATCTAAATGGTGAGAATGTGTTGGTACATATCATTGATGCATTGGATCTAAATGGTGAGAATGTGTTGGTACATATCCTTGATACATTAGATCTAAATAGTGAGAATGTGTTGGTACATATCCTTGATACATTAGATCTTTATGGTGAGAATGTGTTGGTACATATCCTTGATGCATTAGATCTTTATGGTGAGAATGTGTTAGTACATATCCTTGATAAATTAGATCTAAATGGTGAGAATGTGTTGGTACATATCCTTGATACATTAGATCTAAATGGTGAGAATGTGTTGGTACATATCCTTGATACATTAGATCTAAATAGTGAGAATGTGTTGGTACATATCCTTGATACATTAGATCTTTATGGTGAGAATGTGTTGGTACATATCCTTGATGCATTAGATCTTTATGGTGAGAATGTGTTGGTACATATCCTTGATGCATTAGATCTAAATGGTGAGAATGTGTTGGTACATATCCTTGATACATTAGATCTAAATGGTGAGAATGTGTTGGTACATATCATTGATGCATTGGATCTAAATGGTGAGAATGTGTTGGTACATATCCTTGATACATTAGATCTAAATGGTGAGAATGTGTTGGTACATATCCTTGATACATTAGATCTTTATGGTGAGAATGTGTTGGTACATATCCTTGATGCATTAGATCTTTATGGTGAGAATGTGTTGGTACATATCCTTGATAAATTAGATCTAAATGGTGAGAATGTGTTGGTACATATCCTTGATGCATTAGATCTATATGGTGAGAATGTGTTGGTACATATCCTTGATGCATTAGATCTATATGGTGAGAATGTGTTGGAACATATCCTTGATGCATTAGATCTAAATGGTGAGAATGTGTTGGTACATATCCTTGATGCATTAGATCTTTATGGTGAGAATGTGTTGGTACATATCCTTGATGCATTAGATCTTTATGGTGAGAATGTGTTGGTACATATCCTTGATGCATTAGATCTAAATGGTGAGAATGTGTTGGTACATATCCTTGATACATTAGATCTAAATGGTGAGAATGTGTTGTTACATATCATTGATGCATTAGATCTAAATGGTGAGAATGTGTTGGTACATATCCTTGATACATTAGATCTAAATAGTGAGAATGTGTTGGTACATATCCTTGATGCATAAGATCTATATGGTGAGAATGTGTTGGTACATATCCTTGATGCATTAGATCTAAATGGTGAGAATGTGTTGGTACATATCCTTGATACATTAGATCTATATGGTGAGAATGTGTTGGTACATATCCTTGATGCATTAGATCTAAATGGTGAGAATGTGTTGGTACATATCCTTGATACATTAGATCTAAATGATGAGAATGTGTTGGTACATATCCTTGATGCATTAGATCTATATGGTGAGAATGTGTTGGTACATATCCTTGATACATTAGATCTTTATGGTGAGAATGTGTTGGTACATATCCTTGATGCATTAGATCTATATGGTGAGAATGTGTTGGTGCATATCCTTGATGCATTAGATCTAAATGGTGAGAATGTGTTGGTGCATATCCTTGATGCATTAGATCTAAATGGTGAGAATGTGTTGGTGCATATCCTTGATGCATTAGATCTAAATGGTGAGAATGTGTTGGTACATATCCTTGATGCATTAGATCTAAATGGTGAGAATGTGTTGGTACATATCCTTGATGCATTAGATCTAAATGGTGAGAATGTGTTGGTACATATCCTTGATGCATTAGATCTAAATGGTGAGAATGTGTTGGTACATATCCTTGATGCATTAGATCTTTATGGTGAGAATGTGTTGGTACATATCCTTGATGCATTAGATCTAAATGGTGAGAATGTGTTGGTACATATCATTGATGCATTAGATCTAAATGGTGAGAATGTGTTGGTACATATCCTTGATGCATTATATCTTTATGGTGAGAATGTGTTGGTACATATCCTTGATGCATTAGATCTAAATGGTGAGAATGTGTTGGTACATATCCTTGATGCATTAGATCTATATGGTGAGAATGTGTTGGTACATACCTTTATGTGGTAGAGCTCTGGTACTGACTTTGTATCAATATATACATCTATTGCACCATCCCCATATACACCTGCATACAAAACAGTCATCATGAATAAATATCTACAAAGTTATTTATACATTCATTTACATTCATGGTTACTGCCTGCCCTTTACCATTTTAGAAAATACGTTCATGCCTTCCAAATGTTATTAGGTTCTTTACTAATTCTGATAAGATTATTTCCAACTTGCCCCTGACAACAGGTTTTTACCTTGTGCAGTGTTCCCAACAACAAGCTTGATGAGTTTGTCTCTATTTGCCTTCATGACATCATAGAGCTGATCAATTGAGGTTGGCCTGTACCACTGGCTGGAAGTGAAAACCATATGCACAGGCTCCACCTTTTTCTGAAACTCTCTTTTTGCTGAACAGCTCTGCTTACAACTGGTTGATCCACTACATTTCGCTATGTCCTACAAGGTGTACGTACATATATGTACAGCATTGCATACATGTTTCACTTACATGGAAGGGAATTGAAACAAATTGCACATCATATTCCTCAAAAGATAAAGTTAGGGTACACAATTCAAATTCTAAATTCTTGATAACATAATAACTTTTTTTTGTTATGTCCTCACAGAAAGCTCAAGTCAAACAGAAGATTACCAAGTTTGCTGCAACAATTGCTGAACACATATTGCAACTGACTATAACATTGGAGGTGACACCACTACATGTATGTCACAATTTCCTGGTGGAAACAATACTGGGATGCTTTACATTTATCTTCGAAATATGTCTTCTGTTAATTTCATAAAAACTACTTCTCAGTGGTCTTGAACATTCTGGGTAAATATCTCATATGTTTTGAAATACATTAAGCCTAAAAAAATAACAAATACTTATTTAATCTGCCTTCCCCTTTGAAAATTAAGGTCCCCTTTTAATAAAACCAGACTCAAAATAGTATTTTAAAATAATGTCTTCAAAGCATTCCCATAAGAAAACAATGACAATTGTCCTACCTCAAGGTCTGCTACTTTCATTGCCACACTTTTCATTGCATCAAGTATGGGACGAAACCCTATAAATATCATAGTAATTCATATTCAGTAATTCCCCACTGCAATATACATGTAAGGGACAGAACAGTATAAATATCATAGTAATTCATATTCAGTAATTCCCCACTGCAATATACATGTATGGGACAGAACCCTATAAATATCATAGTACATAATTCATATTCAGTAATTCCCCACTGCAAAATACATGTAAGGGACAGAACCCTGTAAATATCATAGTAATTCATATTCAGTAATTCCCCACTGTAATATACATGTATGGGACAGAACCCTGTAAATATCATAGTAAATCAAATTCAGTAATTCCCTATTGCAATATACATGTATGGGACAGAACCCTGTAAATATCATAGTAATTCAGATTCAGTAATTCCCTATTGCAATATACATGTAAGGGACAGAACAGTATAAATATCATAGTAATTCATATTCAGTAATTCCCCACTGCAATATACATGTAAAAGACAGAACCCTGTAAATATCATAGTAATTCATATTCAGTAATTCCCCACTGCAATATACATGTAAGGGACAGAACCCTGTAAATATCATAGTAATTCAGATTCAGTAATTCCCTATTGCAATATACATGTATGGGACAGAACCCTATAATATCATAGTAATTCAAATTCAGTAATTCCCTATTGCAATATACATGTATGGGACAGAACCCTATAATATCATAGTAATTCAAATTCAGTAATTCCCCATTGCAATATACATGTATGGGACAGAACCCTATGAACATCATAGTAATTCAGATTCAGTAATTCCCTATTGCAATATACATGTAAGGGACAGAACCCTGTAAATATCATAGTAATTCAGATTCAGTAATTCCCACTGCAATGTACATGTATGGTACAGAACAGTATAAATATCATAGTAATTCAGATTCAGTAATTCTCCACTGCAATATACATGTATGAGACGGAATGTATAAATATCATAGTAATTCAGATTCAGTAAGTTCCCACTGCAATATACATGTATGGGACAGAACCCTAGAAAATCATAGTAATTCAGATTCAGTAATTGCCTAATGCAATATACATGTATGGGACAGAGCCCTATAAATATCATAGTAATTCATATTCAGTAATTCCCCACTGCAATAAACATGTATGGGACAGAACCCTATAAATATAATCGTAATTCATATTCAGTAATTCCCCACTGCAATATACATGTATGGGACAGAACCCTATAAATGTCATAGTAATTCATATTCAGTAATTCACCACTGCAATGTACATGTATGGGACAGAACCCTATAAATATCATAGTAATTCATATTCAGTAATTCCCCACTGCAATATACATGTATGGGACAGAACCCTATAAATATCATAGTAATTCAGATTCAGTAATTCCCCACTGGAATATACATGTATGGGACAGAACCCTATAAATGTCATAGTAATTCATATTCAGTAATTCCCCACTGCAATATACATGTATGGGACAGAACCCTATCAATATCATATAAATTCATATTCAGTAATTTCCCACTGCAATATACATGTAAGGGACAGAACCCTATAAATATCATAGTAATTCAGATTCAGTGATTCCCCACTGCAATATACATGTATGGGACAGAACCCTAGAAAATCATAGAAATTCATATTCAGTAATTCCCTATTGCAATATATATGTATGGGACAGAACCCTAGAAAATCATAGTAATTCATATTTAGTAATTCCCCACTGCAATATACATGTATGGGACAGAACCCTAGAAAATCATAGTAATTCATATTCAGTAATTCCCCATTGCAATATACATGTAAGGGACAGAACCCTAGACAATCAGAGTAATTATCCCATCGAACTAAGTTCGGAGGGATATAGGGAACGCCTCCGTCCGTCCGTCCTTCCGTACGTACGTCTGTCCGTCCGGGCAATAACTCAAATACCGTTGGCCCGATTTTGTTCATATTTTGTACACATATACCCTATGGGGGTAGAAGTTCTGCTCGAAAGCCGATTTTCAAAATGGCCGCTCATTTCAAAATGGCGGCCATTTTAGTGACGATTTTTCAGTAATTTAGGTGCAATATGTAAAACTGCAATAGCAATATGTTTTAAATGTAAAAAAATTATAAAGGACATTAATAATACTACAAATGTAGATATTAAAGAAGCACATGGCAGCCATCTTGAAAAATGGCGGCCTTTACTCGTCATTTTACGATTTTTGCTGTAACTCAAAAAATAGTGGAGCGATTTTGTTCATATTTGGTATGTGAATACTAAAAGCATTGCACACTGTCTAAAGACACTTTTGGTAGAAGGCGGCCATTTTTCAAAATGGCCGCCATTTTAATGTATTTTACAATAACTCGAAAAGTAGTGGAGCGATTTTGTTCATATTTGGTATGTGAATAATATAAGCATGGCACACTGTCCTATGACACTTTTGGTAGAAGGTGGCCATTTTGAAATAAATTTGAAAAATGGCCTCCATTTTAACATATTTTACTATAACTCGAAAAGTAGTGGAGCGATTTTGTTCATTTTTAGTATGTGAATACTTTAAGCATGGCACACTGTCCTATGACACTTTTGGTAGAAGGTGGCCATTTTGAAAACAATTTTGAAAAATGGCCGCCATTTTAACGTATTTCACTATAATTCGAAAAGTAGTGGAGTGATTTTGTTCATATTTGGTATGTGAATACTATAAGCATCCGATGGCACACTGTCTATTTCTAATGACGCTTTTGGTAGAAGGTGGCCATTTTGTAAAATGGCCGCCATTTTAATGTTTTTTACTATTACTCGAAAAGTAGTGGAGCGATTTTGTTCATATTTGATATGTGAATACTTTAAGCATGGCACATTGTCTAATAAAACTTTGGGGAGTAGTCGGCCATTTTGAAAAATGGCCACCATTTTTATGTGTGCTATTTTACAAGTATGTGTGCGATTTTTCAAAAATTTTAGAGATGGCTACTTAAAAGCATATTATTTCTTCTGATGACAACTTGGCTAGTGAGCAACCATTTTGAAAATGGTGGCCTTTTTTCTGGTGTGTTGTTTTATGATATTTGCGCTTCGTTTGTAAAAATGCCAGCCATTTCTGTTCGATGGGATTCGCTACGCTTTGGCGTTGCCGTTGTTCTGGTTCATATTCAGTAATTCCCCATTGCAATATACATGTATGGGACAGAACCCTATGAACATCATAGTAATTCAGATTCAGTAATTCCCTATTGCAATATACATGTATGGGACAGAACCCTATAAATAGCATAGTAATTCAGATTCAGTAATTCCCTAATGCAATATACATGTATGGGACAGAACCCTATAAATATCATAGTAATTCAGATTCAGTAATTCCCTAATGCAATATACATGTATGGGACAGAACCCTATAAATATCATAGTAATTCAGATTCAGTGATTCCCCATTGCAATATACATGTATGGGACAGAACCCTATAAATATCATAGTAATTCAGATTCAGTAATTCCCTAATGCAATATACATGTATGGGACAGAACCCTATAAATATCATAGTAATTCAGATTCAGTGTTGTTTCATATCAATTAGCAATGAATTGCAGATAATTTTGTAATGTTGTGGAACAGCCCTAAGAGCTGATAAAGTGCCCTATAATGAGACATATCAATACATTCTGCACTTTACCTGTGCATCTACAGATGTTGCCATCTAGAGCCCTCTCCACCTGGTCAGCAGTGGGTTTCTTGTTATTTGAAAATAACCTGCAAAATAACACAGTAAAGGTCAGTATCTTCATTCAAATATATCAGGTGTTCCAAAAAATGAGACACTTTTAGATAAGTATTTTTTCAGCAACTGATGAACCAAATTCACTAAAATCTTGCACATAGTAGCCTAAGAGTATCACTATCGTTCAGTTTTGGAGATAAAACAGTCTCTTAATCCCTTACACTCCTATTCCCTAACATAAGGGATCAAAATGTTTTCTTGCTTCATTATGTAAAGTTAGTTTCATGAGTTCCGGGTAAACAACAAACTAAATATATTTTACTTACCCTTTCATGCTCATAACCATCCCCGGACTGCAAAAACCACATTGGCTTCCATTGAAGTCTGCTAAACTCTGCTGGATTACATTAAATCCTGTCTTCTGATTGCCTAGGCCCTCTGTAGTGGTGATTTCCCAGCCATCACAGGAGAAAATAGGGCATAGGCACTGAAATATAATATCATATCTCCCATTATACACTGTATATGCAATATTGGTTTTCACTTCATATATAATATTATAATTCAAACAGAAAATTGGGTTATAGTTATAGTAGTTATAGTTATAGTTTTCACTGCTTAGGTCGTCTTGACCTTTGGCCGTTCTTAAGATAAAAAGAGCATAATCGTTTAGCATTGACCCCAATTAATCGACTTGTGTTTACTTTAAGGCTCTATAGTTGTATTTGGCTGGGTGGTCACTCCATAGTCTGTCAAGCTTAGTCTTAAAGTGATTCAGGACATCAGCTTCCACAGTAGTATACGGCGGGCCTTTCGACCTGCAACCTGCACCTGCACCTGCCACTACCACCGGACGTGACGTCATAGGTCACGTGCACCGGAAGTGACGTCATAGATCACGTGGTAAGGTGATGCACCGGAAGTGGAAGTGACGTCATAGGTCACATGGTTACTGATATAACTGGTCAAAGGTTACTGATAAGAGAGAGATAATAAACTGATAACACACTGAAAAAGATGGTCAAAGGTTACTGATAATTGATAAGAGAGAGATAATAAACTGATAAGACAGTGAAAAGATAACTACCATGGTTTCTGATATAACTGGACAAAGGTTATATTGATAAAAGAACATAGGTTTGAGTTGAATGCACAGAAATGATGTCATAGGTCACATGGTTACTGATATAACTGGTCAAAGGTTTCTGATAATTGATAAGAGAGAGATAATAAACTGATAAGACAATGAAAAAGATAACTACCATGGTTTCTGATATAACTGGTCAAAGGTTACTGATAATTGATAAGAGAGAGCTCAATTGATAAGATAATCAAACAATCACTGTTAAGGTAACCTGGTGACTATGTGATAAGTTATCTTGTTTACTTCATGGATGTTTCATTGTTATAGGTCAAAGGTTGATAACAATCTGATAAAATAGTAAAAAAGATAACTGCAGAACCATTTCAACCAAACAGGTTTTAGCTTGCAGAATTATTTTAACCAATCAGAGTACAGTAATTTTTAACCAATCAGGTTTTGACTTGCAGAATCATTTTAACCAATCAGGGCACAGTATGTTTGGATTATTTTAACCAATTATGTTTAGAGTTTCAGAATAATTTTAACCAATCGGGTTGCGGTATATTCTCATCCAATCAGATAAAAGAAAATCTCCCAATAGAGGAGAATTTCTGCACAATTTAACAAGTTCAGACAGGTATTGAATATTTATAACCAAAAAGCCTCCTGAGTTATTTTAGAATATTTTTAAATTGTCAAGTTGATCAATTTGTGCTAATTTTTTCTCCAAACGATTACTTGATTCTTACTTTGGAGTCATTTTAGAATATTTTTCCAATCTTCACGCTTGAGTGATTTTCGCTTATTTCTTGAGTTTGAGGTATTTAATCACCAAATGGACACTGTATTCTTACTCCCGATACATTTTACAATTTTCACGCTTGAGTGATTTTTGGTGATTCCTGGAGTTTGAGGCATTCTTTTACCAAACGATCACTTGATTCTTACTCCTGGGTCATTTTAAAGTATTTTTTGAAGTGTCAAGTTTGGACGATTTCAGTCACTGTTGATCGATTTCTGCTAATTTTTGGAGTTTAAGGCATTTTCACAAAATAGACACCCACCCACTATACAAAATAACACGCTTTAATAGGCATCTGTTAATTTAACATGCCACTGATAAAAATATAAACCCCTACAAGATAAATAACTAGATTTTGGAAATTGAACGAAGTTCAATTTCAGACTCCAGATCTAGACTTTTTTTTAGCCGAGTCATCCAGAATAAGCCGAGTCATCCAGAATAAGCTGAGTCATCTAGAAAGAGATGGATAAATAAAATAGGAAGGTAGGATAGGATAGAATAGGAAAGAACGATAGGATAGAATAAGAAAGAAGGATAGGATAGAATAGAATAGGAAGAAAGGATAGGATAGGATAGGATAGGAAGGAAAAGATAGGAAGGAAGGATAGATAGGAAGGATAGGGTAGGATGAGATAGGAAGGATGGATGAATTTTTCAATATTTTCTTCTCTACTCTTGACTTTCTATCAGGATACCATCAGATCGATTTTTCTCGAAATTTCAAAACGCTATCACTTCCGAACCGGAAGTCGGATCGAAATTTGGTTTTCAGATTCGGATTCCTGACAAAATTCTACTCCTAATTCATAACTCATACGTTAAATTTTTTATTTTGACCTACTTTTCGGACACGCCATTACTTCCGAACCGGAAGTCAGATTGAAATTTGGTTTGCAGATTCAAAATCCTGACAGAATTCTACCCTTAATTCATAACTCATATATTCAATTTGGAGAACTTTTTATTTTGACCTACTTTTCGGACACCATATCTCAAAAGTGGGTCAAAATACTTTCTGACGGCAAAAGGCTAACACTATTAGCATATTCTTGGCTACATGTATACAGAATTTCGAAGAATATAATTAAAGTGTAGTGTCAGAATCGAAAAAATAAGGAAAACCTATGAATTTGACCTAGATTTTGACCTAGGCATTTCGGTGTCCAAATTGTGAAGTTAAATGGCTTTTGAGGTCCCCTTCTTTTAAATGCTTTGATTATGTGAAGCTGAACTCAGTCTATATTCCGTATTTTTCACTTCAAAAAAATATTTTTTCCCATTGACTTAACATGGGCACCAAATTTAGCGATTTTTGAGTTTTCAAAACGCCATAACTTCCGAACCGGAAGTCAGATCCAAATTTCGTTTTCAGATTCGGAATCCTGAGAAAATTTCCTATAAGACTAATATCCTGGACATTTGATTCGGAGAACTTTTTTTTGGACCTCGTTTTCGGACACTGATATCTCGAAATCGGTTTGAGATATCAAAAAACTAAATCGACCCTAGATATCCTAGTTTTTTATAAGGAACACAATGAAAAAAAACCGGATTGAAAATATTGAAGGACGACCGAGAAAATCGAAAAAAGTGACAAAGTACTGGATTTGACCTAGTTCTTGACCTTTGACCTAGATAAAAATTTGACCCAATTTCCGAGGAACTAGATACTGGACATAAATTGACTGAATAATGATCTTTATTGGAAGCCTTATGGTTATCGAGAAAACTGGGAAAGAATAATAAGAAAGAATAATAAAGAATAATAAGAATACTGACAAAAACAATAGACTCCAGATTGACATCTGGAGTCTAATAAAAAATGCTAACGTTAACAGTTTTACAGCAGAACATTTTCGACCAATCAAAGTGTATATGCAAATGAGCTGCAGAACCATTTCAATCAATCAGATCAGATTATTGCACTCTTCGACCCCACCACCGCCGCCGCCGCCGCCACCGCCGCCGCCGCCGCCGCCACCGCCGCCGCCGCCACCGCCGCCGCCGCCGCCGCCACCGCCGCCGCCGCCACCTTTTGTGCCTTTATCATATTTTATTCAACAGAGGGATGTATTAAAACTATATAAGTGAAAAGCAGGCTTGATTCATTCATTCAGCGCAACCTCATCTACGTGGCAACATGGATTATATTTGCTCCGTGTGTTCTGGCACATTTGCCAGGAAGGATATTCTTCTGAGACATATGAGAAACATTCACACAAAAGATGAGACTAACTTCGATCTCGACTCACCTATACAGTTCAGGCATCCATTTACTAAAATTGTTGCAGGTCCTACTGGATGTGGAAAGACAACCTATGTTGTCGACCTTATTGATAGAGCCGAACAATTAATCAATCCACCACCACAAAGAATAGTATGGTTCTTCAAACAATGGCAGCCTTTGTATGCAGAAATAAAGAGAAAACAGCCTCATATCGAGTTTGTTATGGGACTTTGCGATGACTTGATGAAGCCCGATTACTTCGATGGAAATGTGACCAATTTGGTTGTGATAGATGACCTCATGGCGGACCTTAACAAGGCAGTTACATTGCTATACACAGCGGGTTTTCATCACAAAAATATATCCATTATCACGCTACAACAAAATATTTTCCCACCCAATGGAGAAAGCAGAACAATGAGCTTAAACAGCCATTACTTGGTTCTGTTCAAGAACCCGAGGGATCAAAGACAGATAAGTGTTTTGGCATCTCAAATGTATCCTGGAAAGACACATATTTTACTTGACATTTACAGACAAGCTACGGAAAATCCATTTGGTTACTTAGTGGTGGATCTGAAGCAAGAAACTGAAGATGGTTCGAGGCTTAAGCCTAATGCATTGCAGCAAGTTGCAGAAAGTGTTCCATATACATCATTTCAACATTTTTATAACACGGCAGGGAGCTCCACTGCTCAACAGAGGCAAGATATGTCGGAATTCCGACCAAATACCATTGTTCAACCAACTCAGATGGATGCTACGTATCCAGGTCCAATGGATGATGTTACTCTAAGAAACCCCTCCGTTTTACATCTCCCCCATTGTAAAGACTGTGGAACAGTGTTGATTACCACAAAACATGCAGACATACATCAAAAATATTGCCAATATGAAGACTCTGGTAAAAATGAACCCCATGCTGAAGATTTGAAGGAAAATTATACATTTTCTACTCTGAAGCAGAACGTGTTGGATGTATTGAAAAAAGAAGCTGACACTTTGTATGAAAAATACACTACCAGGGGATTACCAGAGAAGGAAATTACTCAAAGGCTCAAAGCAAAACTTTATCCCAAAGCAAAATCTGAGTTTTTAAATGACTATGGTGAAATTCTGAGGTTATTTATTGAAGTCAAAGATGCCGATGTACATCGAGAAATAGTAGAAGAAATTGAATTCTTAGTTGATCAAGACATGTCTCTGTCGAGAGCTATCAGAAAAACTTTGGCCAAATATTCTTATATCGCTGATGAAATGTTTAACGATGAAGCGTCTATTGACGGACATGATTCAGAAGATACAGATACATCTGGTGAGATGGAAGAAGAACGTAGTGAGATTTTGTGAATGAACGTTCCGTAGTCCCTT